TAATACTGTAACAATCCCAGAAGTCAGATTCCTTTATCCATAGTTTGCTATTTGTTTTGTCTTTTTTTTTTTAATTTTAAGCTGCCTGTGTATTGAAAGATCAGTCTGAGGTGTAGATTGAAGGCCTCAGATCTTTCTAATCACATGAAACACTTTACAATTCTCTTTATATATGTAGTTGTTTTAGAATGTTCTTCCTTTTAATGCATGGTTGCAAAAAGAGCAAAATATATTAGTGAGAAGGGAAATACCTGGTCTTAAAATTTCCTGGAAGTGACATGGGTCAGGAGGAGGGACTCAGACCAAAGTGGGAAGCACAATGAAGAAGGCCAGCAGTCTTAATGCGTGCATCGCAATAATCAGATGCAGCAACGGGAACCCGGATCTTCTATTTTCAGAAAGCAGGGTCTTGGGAGCCAAACCTGGCTCCTGTAAGCTGTGTGTTAGCTGCTCTAAGAATACAAGCACAGCTGCCTGCCACAGGACTGACATGGGAGGTGGGCAGCTACTACGCTAAGAGCTGAAACTGATAGACACTAACTACAATTTACCATCAAAGAATTCTCCCGCAAGTTGAAAGCCTTTAATAGACTCCAAAGTTCCAAAATAGTGATATCAGATATATTCAAACCATGCAATTATTGTCTAGGTGGGCAGGCCCCCAGAGCCTCCCACTCTGCCATCTTATCTTCCAGAATACTTTCTCTGCTCAATTGTTTTTAAAGTTTATAAAGTTGGCTTAGTATGTGTGCCTTGAGGAGTTGCTTTTTCGTTCAGTTTGACACCACCAGCTCTCTCTCTCTCTCTCTCTCTCTCTCTCTCTCTCTCTCTCTCTCTCTTCAGCCTGCTAGGCCAGCATTCCACTTCTGAACTCTGTCCCCACCCCGTGAATATTCTTATACATGTTTTGGTTTTAGATATGATTTCAAGAGTTTCTCTTGAGTCTGTGTCTAAGAATAAATTTTCTAGGCCTTAAGATTTCTAGGTATTCAATTTTGGCAAGAAAATCACAAATTGTTTTCCAAAACACTTGTATCACTCGCATTCCCTCAAAGTAATGAGTCAGCTGTCCCACTGAGTCACACTTTCTTTAACTGAGGATGGTTAAGCCTTGAAATCCTCTGTTAGTCTGCGCTGGCATCTCACTGTGGTCTGACGTCACATTTTCCTATCATGCAGTAAGAGTAGTCCCCTTCCATTCATTATTAACTGTATGTGCTGTCTCCCTGTGGAAGGCATACTGCATGTTCCCACTTAACTCTTCGATTTCCTGCTGTTAGCCCATCTTTGCTTTCCTGTTAATACCATGACTTGATTTTAGCAAATCCTTTCTTGCTTGCTACATTGGACCCGCTAATATTTTGTTTAGGACTTCTGCGTCTATTTTTGTGAGAAAAGTATTGTGTAAATTTCCTTTCTTGCCAGACATGGTGGCTCACACCTGTAATACCAAGACCCAGGGGGCTTAGGCAAGAGAACTGTTACAAGGTGAAACCCAGTCTGAGATACATAACGAGTTCCATTCCAGACAGAGAGAAGGAACTGGGAGGGGTGTAATCCGAATACGTCGACATAAACATTAAGAGTAAGAACTAAAATGGATGAAATTTGAAACTAAGAAATAAAGAAAGACAAAGCATGATTCCAGAAGGGATGGAGAGTAGCCCAGTGGAAGAGCGTTTATCTAGCATGCTCAGGATCTTGGGTTTCATCCCCGACGCTAAACAACAGCAGAGTTCCTATAAAGACCAACCAAAAGACATAGAAACCACTTGGAAATTAATTTTTAATATGGAATACTATAAATAAAAACATTATTACATATACAGCAGACATTTAAAAGACAGTAATAGATACAAATGTATTGATCTGAGAACTCAGATAAAATAGATTTTGAATTTTAAAAAAGTATTTTATTAAATTTTCAAGACTAAATAGCAGGGCATGGTGGTGCACATAGTTAATCGCAGCATTCCATAGGCAGAGGCAGGCAGAGTTCAAGGCCAGCCTAGTCTACATAATGAGATCTAGGTCAGCCTACACTGTGAGATCCTGTATCAAAAAAAAAAAAAAGAAATGAAATGAAAAAGCAGACTTATTAGTGTCACATTAAACAGTGGTTCTGTATGTTTGAAAATGGCTGATTAAACCTTCAAAAGGATGGCCATTTTGATCTTACTCAAATACTTTCAGAAACTAGAAAAGGGAAATTATTTCCCAATCTAGTCTAGGAAACTGGTAAAATTTTGAAAATCCAATAAGGACAGTACAAGAAGTTATTATTTTAAAGAGACAGACTGCCAGATACATACACAGAGATGAGAGAGAGAGATTAAGATTGAATATCAGTCTATAGTCCAGAGAGAGAGAGAGAGAGGGGGGGGGGGAGATTGAGAATGAATATCAGTCTATAGTCCAGAGAGAGAGAGAGATTGAGATTGAATATCAGTCTATAGTCCAGAGAGAGACAGAAAGATTGAGATTGAATATCAGTCTATAGTCCAGAGAGAGAGAAAAATTGAGATTGAATATCAGTCTATAGTCCAGAGAGAAAGAGAGAGACAGACAGAGAGAGATTGAGATTGGATATCAGTCTATAGTCCAGAGAGAGAGAGATTGAATATCAGTCTCTAGACCAGGTCGATCTCACACTCTCATAGCCAAAAGTGAGAAATGAGCTTAGGTTTCTTTTTAAAATGCATTATTTTATTACGCTTGCTTATTTGGCTGGCACACAAACGTCATGGCATGAGTGTGGAGGTCAGAGGACAGCTTGCAGGAGTCAGTTTTCTCGTTTGCTGTGTGGGCCCCAGGAATTGAACTCAGGTCATGAGCTTGACAGCATGCCCTTTATTCTGTCAGTCAGGCATCTCAGCAGCCTGATTATGGGTTCTGGACCCTCCTGTCTCCATCCCTCTGGTGCTAAGATTACAGGCACACACCATCATGCCTGCTACACATGTGCTGAAAACCGAACCAGGGCTCTGTCCACGCTAGATGAGCACCTTACCAACTCTGCCACCCCTCCCCCAGGCCAGTCTCCCTGTGATTTCTAGAGTGATGCTTCAGCTATCTGAGGTATGGGTTTTAATCTCCAAGCATACGGAAATTACAAGTTATTCCCTCACTATCAATTCTCAACCCTGGCTGGAGAGAGAGCTCAGCATGTAGGAGTGTACATTGCCCTCGAAGAAAAGCCAAAGTTCAGTCTCCAGCAGTTACGTCGGGTGGCTCACAACTGCCTGTAGTCCCAGCTCTAGGGGAATCCTGCACCTTCAACAATCATGTATGTGTATCCACACACAGACCCGCACACATATAGCTAATTAAAAATAATAAAATAAATTTCTAACTCAGCTGCTCTGCGATCTGTGCGATAACAACAGAAGTTAATTGAGATCAGTTTTAACGACCTGACACATCTCAAGCTTGAACTTCCTGTGTGGGCTTGAGAAGGGTTCGTGAGATCATTCTGCCAGCAGAAAATGCTGAGCCTTTGGCTCAATCGTGTTGATTGTTTTCCTTCCATTTTCCATGTCCCTGTTGCTTTGTGTGCTTATTGTATCTGACCTTTAATCAGCCCCGTGACACTTCATTTTAAATCTTTCTTGGATGCCATAGATTGACATCCACATGATATATTCTTTTCATTCCGTTTAATGTCATTTTATCTTAACCATGTATTTGATGGTTACACCATCTGTAACTCTTGGGAAGATAAATCCAACGACCTTGATCTCACTGCCTCTCACACTTGCTTCTCATGGCTTTGTGAGGCCAGTGCTGCTTGCACTCTGAGGGAAAACTATAGGAGGCAGGAAACCTTGAGGGAAGGAAAGAGAGAGGTGGGGGGTGGGGAGAAGGAGAGAACTTCCCTTTATGTTGCCACTTGAGGATCAGGCACCAGACCTGCTAAAGTTCTCTTCTAAGATCTTAATTCAGACCAAGAACACCAGATCAGCTTCTCCTCAACACTCTCTGAGTTCAGGTTCCCCATGATCCCACCGCTGTGGGTCTGAGATCAAGTTTTCCCCCAACCTCGCTGCTGGCAGTGTGGCCTCAGGAAAGCTTCCCTCTTCTGCTCACCTGAGTCTAGGTCAGAACCATAGCACACAATCCCCACTGCATGAGGCCTGCCCTTTGCTCCTGTCCTGCTTCTCTTCAAGATCTTGGCTTCTGGTTGCCCCACTCCCCACCCTTGCTCCTAGGACTCCATCCTTACCTCCTTAGATCCCACCTGCTATTAACCCAGAAGCAACTCCGAAGCCGCCAGACTGCTGGAATCTGCCACAGTGCCTTGTCTGGTCCCAGCATAGCATATTACAACCCCATCTGTTCTTCTCACTCGTTTTGAACCCATTATTCCTGATTACCAAGGTCTTTCTCTGCAGAGGATTTGTGGATCACGCTGGTGGTTTTTGTGCATTTTCCCCAACTAATGTTTAGCTGAAGAAACAGAATCCACCCCCTGCATTCTGCTGGGGTTCAAGCAAAGTCTCTCAGGCCCCTTATTTCGTTCAGCAGGCTGCTGTCGAACACCTACTCTGCTTGGTGCCAGGAGTTCCTGACATCAGATTACTTAGCAACACTTTTTTCTCAGCCCAGGAGGGACCACACATGCTGATGAGCCACTTGAACAGTGAGAGCCAGGTCAGAGCTCGGGTTCTCACTGCTATGCCGCGTCCAGATGGCTTCCGCAGCTCTTTCTCCACTGATGCGAGGTTTATCCTCACAAAGAAGCTCTGGCACATGTGTGTGTGTGTGGGGGGGGTCCTACCCTAGATCTGACAGTTTGGATAGCAAGTTTCTCTCTGTAGAAGTGGCCTCCATCCTTGCCAGCTGCCTCAGTTTACAGGGCATGGCTTAGTGTCCTCACCCATGTTCTCCATATTAGAAGCAGAACCTACCCCGGGGGTCACGACCGTTGTGGAAGCCAGCAATAGCCAGTGTCCCCAGACAACTCCCCGAGCTGGTAAGAGATGCTGCCTTTGTTTCCCCAGGCATCAAGTGGAAGCCGGATGAAAACGGAGTCATTGTCTTCGACTGCAGAAACCGTGGCTGGTAAGTGCTCCCAGAGGAGGGGCACAGTGCCCAGCATTTACCTTCCAGCCTGTGGGCTTGGCTTGGCTTTCTTGCCCCTCTCTCTACACGGAGGCTTAAGGAGGAACTTCAGTGGCTTAATCCAAGCCAGGAATAGAAAGATTTGCTAACTACAACACTCCTCATTCCTTCCCCACTGTCTCCAACTCAGACCTTCCTGCAGTACTCGAGGCCATCTCCAGAGCAGCTGCCTCTAGCTCTGCTCTTGCCAAACCCTTTCCCAGGTAGATCAGCTGTGTATCCAATCCCCCTCCTTTCCTGCTGCCAGACCCTCGGGGACCCTGGCTGCCCTCTGTCAAAAAGGAGGGGACTTTCTTCCAATCTCACCACCCCAGTGAGCTCAGTGTCCAGGGGTTACAGCACACACTGGCCTAAACTTGGGGGAACCAAGTTTATTATGGGCCAGATCAAATAAATTCAACTGGAGGCTCCCAGTCAGGAGGCAGTACCAGATTTAATATTAATTATAAATGCTCGGCCAATGGCTCAGGCTTGTGACTTACAGCTCTTACAACTTAGATTAACCCATTTCTATTAATCTATTCTACCACATGATGCTAAAGGTACATACAAGCAGCCACCTCTCCCAAGGACATAGTGATTCTGGTGGACGTGAGCGGCAGCATGAAGGGGCTGAGGATGGCCATCGCGAAGCACACTATCACTACCATTCTGGACACCCTGGGGGAAAATGACTTCGTGAATATCATTGCGGTAATGGCGGCTTCCTGTTCGGCAGTTGCTCTCACCTGCTCTGGGAAAATATTCTTTTCCTGAACCAAAAGGGCTGTGTTTCCAGCCACGGGTGCATCCCACCATAGAGGGACACTGTCCTCCACATTGAAGACTCCTGTACTTGTACCCGCAGTCTGCCTTGGGGTGGCTTTACGAGTCCCTCAAAGCATCTGAAGTAATGTGTGAGTGTGCATGGCCCTCATTGAGGCCAAACGCTCCGTCCATTTCCCAGTGTCTGACACAGACAGAGAACCAGAGGCCCCAGCAGAGCCTCCATTCCCTCTGTGGGCTCCTGGTGGTATCGCTGCTGGCAGCCTCCCCATCCACATGGGGTCAGATGGGATCTTGGGCCCTTGATCTGTTAGGATTCCAGTCTCTCGCTTTCCTTATCCCATAAGCCTAGACACGAAGGCAGAAAGGAGGTACACAGGAGAAAGAGGGGGGTGCTTAAAAATCCAACCATTAGGGGACCACTTGAGCTCCATGGAAGCAGAGTTGACAGCCACTCTGGGGTGTTTAGTTAGAGAGGCCACTGATCCAAAATTCCTTCTCAGCCTGCATAGTAGCTAACAATTCTAGCTGTTAGTGGAATTTATATAGCGTGTAGACATGCTTGAGACAAAGGTGTCTTGCTTCCGCAGCATCCTGCTGGGGGATCCAGACCCTGACTTGCTACCCGAGGCTCAGCTAGCCCATGGCAGCCCTCATAACCATCACACAGCCCAGGGCTGACTCCCACACCCATCCCAGGGTCTGCAACAACAAGATGGCCACAGAAACAGGTTCCATACTCTACCAGGGAGGGGAAGTGTGATAGCCCTCCTAGCCTGCAGCCCCTCCCTCTCTCCCATACCCTGACTTCTTCCTCACAGAAATTCCCAGAAGGAACCCTGACTCCTGCATTCCCCAGTTCACCCCACAGCTCTTCCATGATGTAGCTATGTGTCCTCTCTCTTTCCTCTTACATCAGTAGAAGGAAGATTAGGGACCCTAAAATTTGTATTCTACCTGCCAGGGAGATAATGAAAAGGGGGTGTTAACAGTCCATGTTTCTCCCTAGTCCCACCCCTGTGGGTAACTGAATGACCATCTACATGTATGCAAAGAACAAGAGTACATTTGTAGCTAGCTTGGTGGCCCACACCTATCACCTCAACATTCTAAACACTTAGTCAAAAGATTTAAATCCTAGGCTAGCCTGGGCTACATAATGAAAGCCACTATCAAATAAACAATAACAAAAAGTAGTTTAGAGTTCCCTACCCTGGCTGGGGAGGATCCTATGCAAGGGAAGCTCTGGGATTGGTGGACAGTGGCTTGGCTGGTCTGAGCACACAAATGAATGCCCTCGGGATGGCAGGTTCTCAGTACACCCTAGAAAGGGCACCTTACATCAGAACCAGGACTTGGGGAGCAGTTTTAGAGTCAAGATCCTCCGCTTGCTCTGTTCAGACACCCCAAGACAGAACTGCCCATTTGCCCAGGTGAGACATTGTTTTCTCTCTATCTTCACTGTGCCTTGCAGTACAATGACTACGTCCACTACATTGAGCCCTGCTTCAAAGGCATCCTCGTCCAGGCAGACAGAGACAACCGAGAGGTGAGCTCGACCACAACCGAAGCTCAAATCCGGGTAGGGAGGTGTCTGGGAAGATTTTATATGGGGCTCTGCCCATCACATGGCCCCTGGCAAGAACAAACCAAATCAGTGGTTACCCTGGACTGTCCACCTTCTGGCCAGCCTCATCCTTAGCCCCACCATCTAGGAGGAGATAGGGATTGGTACCAAGCCTTTTGCACTTAGTTTATCTTTGGGCATTTAAGAAACACGGACTCAAGAGAATGTGGTTGGCTGTGCTGTGGAGCTCGGGTCTTGCCCTGACAACACTTCTAAACACCCTCAGCGTTAGGATTCCTGGGTCCATTTGAACCTCTAAGCCTCATCTCATGTTTACCCTGACAGCATTTCAAGCAGTTGGTGGATGAACTGATGGTCAAAGGTGTGGGTGTTGTGAGCCAGGCCCTAATCGAGGCTTTCCAGATCCTGAATCAGGTACCTCCGGGGGTGGGGTGGGGGTGGAGCCTGGGCAGGTGGGGGTAGAGGGAAGCCATTGCAACTACAGGTTGTGGCTGTGGTGACAGCCTCACCCCTGCTCCCTCAGTTTCAAGAGTCCAGACGAGGAAGTCTCTGTAACCAGGCCATTATGCTTATCACCGACGGAGCCGTGGAAGACTATGAGCCTGTGTTTGAAAAATATAACTGGCCAGACCGCAAGGTAACTCCCGCTGCAAGTCAGAGCAGAGGAGGCCTCTCCCAGTGCCAGGGGAGAGTTCTCGAAACCATGATAGTCTTACATGCAGCACAACCCCATGTTCAGAGTTCTTTCCCTTAGACCTGTTCACCAGGTCAGGTACATTCTAATTGGGTGTCCGAAAGTAAGCAACCTGGGCCGGGAGGAGGGATGCGGAAGGATGCAGGACAAAGGACCAGAGTGGTTTTGAGACATAAGAACTGTTCCGTGCTCACCCGGGCCCTGGCAGTTCACGTTCTCACCAGGGCCTCTGGGTTTTCTCTGGCCCAAGAGGGTGCAGCCAGAGAATCCAGAAGAAAGACCTGCATGTAAGCCCATGATAAATGGCACCGATGCTGCCTGCAGCTGCTGAGTCCCTCTCTTGTGGTCAGGTCCGAGTTTTCACTTACCTCATCGGAAGAGAAGTGACCTTTGCCGACCGCATGAAGTGGATCGCCTGCAACAACAAAGGTAAGCGCCGGCAAGAGAGCGCCCTGGGGTCCGCACTGAGCCAGCGGGATGGCAAGACTTCAGGGCTTATAGACATCCAAAACTCAGGGTGTACACAAGAGAACTGTCTCCTCTAATAAAGCCTTGTACAAATATATAACACAGAAGACAGAGCAGGAGGCAAGAGGGGAACCCACATTTTTTTCTTTTTTAATTTTTTATTTAATAGCATTTTTTATTTATTTTGCATACCAACCAGTTTTCTGTTCCCTCCCATTTATCATCTACCCCACTCCCCATCCACTTCTTCTCCACCTCCATTCAGAAGGGGACAGGCCTCCCATGAGCTTGCACAAAGCATGGCATGTCAGTTTGAGGCAGGACCAAGCTCATTCCCCTATATCAAGGCAGGGCCAGGTAATCCAGCATGGGGAACAGGTTACCAAAAGGCAGTTAAGTTGCAGGGGGAGGCTCTTCTCTCACTGTTGGAAGCTTTACTCAAAGCTACACGGTTGTCACACACTTGCAGAGGGCCTAGGTTGGTTCCATGCAGTCTCCCTGACTGTTGGTCTGGTGTCTGTGAGCTCCCATGAGCTTGAGTCAGCTGTCCCTGTGGGTTTCCCCATCATGACTCCCCTGGATAGTGCAATCCCTCCTCCCTTTCTTCTGCAAGACTCTCAGAGCTCAGCACAGTGCTTGTCTATGGATCTCTGCCTCTGCTTCCATCAGTTACTGGATAGAGTATCTCTGATGGCAATTAGGAAAGTCATCAATCTGCTTACAGTAATGGTCAGTTCCGGCACTTTCTCCACTATTGCTAGGAGCCTTAGTCGGGGTCATCCTTGGGGGTTCCTAGGGATTTCCCTGGCACCAGTTTCTCCCTAACTCTGAAATGACCCCCTACTAAGTCTCTTTTGTTACTCTCCCCTCCATCCTGCCTCCCACTTGCTTCCCACAGGCAGCCTCCCAACCCAGTTCCCTCTAGTTCTCATTCCTCCATCCCCAGCCCCCGCCCCCAGTTTACCCAGGAGATCTCCTCTAGTTCCCCTTCCCGGGGAAATCATGCATCCCTCTTTGGGCCCTCCTTGTTATCTAAACTCTCTGGGGCTGTGGATTGTAGGCTGCTTATCCTATACTTCCTTTTCAATATCCACTTATAAGTGAGTATGTTGTACCCAGAGTCAATACCCAAAAAGACCATCAAGAGACCTTATTTGATGCAAAAGCGAAGAGTCTTTTTTTAGTATACCGGTATGCTGGGACCAACCTTTCTACACAAAGGAAAGATGGCAATGACCCCAATCAGCCGGGACAAGCCCCAGGCCTTGTTCCTGAGCTGCTGTAGAGGCTGGCTCAGGCCTGGCCTGGCCTAGTACCGCATGAACCAGGCCTCCTTCGTGCTGTTGGGCATGTTGGAGATTGACTGTCCTCTATTCATGGCTTTTCTTCAGAAGCTGCTTGTTCAGTTTCAGGAAGCTGAAACTGGGGCCTGAGAGAAGACGGAGCAGCCTGTTACGGCATCCGCTTGGCCCTTTCAAGTACACACCATTTTGTCTTTCTGGGTCTGGGTTACCTCACTCAGAATGACTTTTTCTAGTTCCATCCATTTGCCTGCAAATTTCATGAGGTCATTGTGTTTTACAACTTAGTGAAATACTCTATTGTGTAAGTGTACCATATTTTCCTTATCCATTCCTTGATTGAGGGGCATCTAGGTTGTTTTCAGGTTCTGGCTATTACGAATAATTCTGCTATGAACATAGTTGAGCAAATGTCTTCTGGTATGATTGTGCATCCTTTGGGTATCTGCCTAAATTTGGTATAGCTGGGTCCTGAGGTAAACCAATTCCCAATTTTCTAAGAAACTGCCATACCAATTTCCAAAGTGATTGTACAAGTTTTCACTCCCTCCAGCAGTGGGGCGGCGGGGAGAGGGGGTGTTTCTGTTACTCCACATCTTCTCCACATAAGCTGCCATTTGTGGTTTTGATCTTGGCCATTCTGAAAGGTGTAAGATGGAATCTCAAAGTCATTTTGATTTGCATTTTCCTGATGTCTAAGGATGTTGAACAGTTCTTTAAGTGTATCTCCACTATTTGAGACTCTTCTGTTGAGAATTCTGTTTAGATCTGTGCCCCATTTTTAAATTGGATCGTTTGATATTTTGATGTTTAGCTCCTTGAGTTCTGTATATATTTTGGAGATTAGCCCTCTGTCTGATGCGGGGTTTGTGAAGATCTTATCCCATTCTGTAGGCTGCCATTTTGTCTTACTGACAGTGTCCTTTGCCTTACAGAAGCTTCTCAGTTTCAGGAGGTCCCATTTTATTAATTGTTGACCTCAGTATCTGTGCTCCTGGTGTTAAACTCAGGAAGTGATCTTCTGTGCCAATGTTTTCAAGGTTTTCCCTACTTTCTCTTCTATAAGGTTCAGTGTAACTGGATTTATACCGAGGTCTTTGATCCACTTGGACTTGAGCTTTGTGCAGGGCGATAGACATGGATCTCTCTGTGTTCTTGTGCAGGCTGACATCCATTTATGTCGGCCCCATTTGTTGATACTTTCTTTATTCCATAGTATAATTTTGGCTTCTCTGCCAAAAATCAGGTATTCATAGGAGTGTGCATTTATATCGGGAGACCCACCTTCATTCCTGTTGTGGCAAATTAAGGTACTGACTCTGTTCAAAGACAAAAGCAGGGGGTCATCTTTTTTTCTCTTGTGTGTGTGCACACATTGAGGAAATGCATGCATGTGTGTGGAGGCCAGAGGACCCCAGGAGGAGCTGTTCCTTGAGAGGGGCCTTCTATCTTGGGTTTTTGAAACAGGTTTTTCTTCCAGCTGAGCTAGTCAGGCTGACTGGGGAGTCTCGGGAATCCACCGATCTCTGCCTCCCCAGCGCTGGCATTACAAGGGCAGGCCACCGCACACACCTTTTTACATGAGTTCTGGGATGAGGCTTATGTCTTCATGCTTGGCAAGTGTTTTACTGACTGAGCTATTTGCAGCCCCATTTTTTTTCTTTTTTTTCCTTATTTGTTGATTGATTTTTCTAAGGGAGGTTAAATTTTTTTAATTTGACATTTATTTATTTATTTAGAGCACACATGTGCACGTGCGTGTGTGTGTGTGCGCACGCGTGCTTACGTGCGTGCGTGTGTGTGCGCGTGTGTGCGTGTGCTCGTGTGCGTGTGTGTGCGTGCGTGTGTGTGTGCATGCATGTGCGCGTGTGTGTGCGCACGTGCGTGTGTGTGCATGTGTGTGTGTGCGCACATGCGTGTGTGTGTGCATGTGTGTGTGTGTGTGCGCATGTGCGTGTGTGTGTGTGTGTTCCCATCTGTGCATGTACCCAAGCACATGTCTGTGATAGGGGTCAGAGGACAACCTGTGGAACTTGGTTCTCTCTTTTGACCACGCAGGTTACAGGAATTGAACCTACTAGGTTGCCAGACTTCTTGGCAAATGCCACTATTTATTAGTTTTATGAGACAGGCTGTCACTGGGTATCCCAGCCTGACCTCAAGTCATAATGATCCTCCTGCCTCAGCCTCCCAAGTGCTGTGATTATATGTACAGGTGGCCGCAACTAGCAGGTGTGGTATTTTCTCTAGAACAATATTTTGTGTACCAACGGCTCTCTTTTAGCTGGGATCAGAACCCAAAACCTGGCCTTGCAATGCAATTCTGTTTATTCAACAGAGATTTACTGAGTCTGTACTTGGTACCTGGTGCTGTTTGAAGGCTGTGGATCAAGAGTGATAGGGCAAGGGGGCTCAGTCTTGATCTTCGTGTAGCTAGCACATGGACTTCAGTTGACTATGGTGGGAATGTGTCATGCGGGCACCAAGGCATAGGCCAGGCAGGGTGCAGGGAACAATGGGGAACAATACTTTCCCAGTCTAGGGATTATGAGGCAAGGTCTTGCACCTGGAGGAAATGGCATTCTCTAGGAGTCTGAGGCAAGAGGCTTGGAAGGAAGGAAGCTGTCTCATTTTGCTGGCATATGGAATGAATGGCTTGGGGGAGGTGATGGGCGATGAAACCCAAAGTTACTAAACCATTCACAGCCCTTTCCAATAGCACTGTGCCTAATCTGAAGAGAATAAAGCAGTCTGCTCCATAGCCTGAGCCTGCACCGGAGCCTTAGGGAGAATAAAGGTGAGGGAAACTGAGAGCTGAGGACGCAGGAGGACAGGAGGCACCATCTTGTTGGGGTCCGACTTCTCAGAGAGCATAACAAATGGGATACTTGTTGATGGCACCGCTGCTGCAGCTGAGGCCCCTAGCTGTTGTCTGGGGAAGTGTTAGCTGTGAGAAGATCCCCCCAAGATCTCCCAAGTGGGAGCTGTGCAGGCCTTTGTCTTATACTGGGGGACAACGCATGGCCTCCAAAAAGTAGAGTGACCTAGCTAGGGCTACCCAGCAGCTGGGAGGGTGCATGGGCCCTATGCAGAGACCAAGGGGAGCCTATCCTTTGCATCCTGTGATCGCACACCCCTGCCCCCTTCAGGCTACTACACACAGATCTCCACACTGGCCGATGCCCAGGAGAACGTGATGGAGTATCTGCATGTGCTCAGCCGTCCCATGGTCATCAACCACGATCATGACATCATCTGGACAGAGGCATATATGGATAGCAGGGTGAGCATGACAATGGCTCCAGGTGGGCAGGGGGGCCAGAGTTCAGGGAAGGAGCAAGAGGTGACTTCTTGGTCAGGAGAGGCCAGGATCCTCAGGAGGACTCACAAAGGGTGATAAAAACCACCCATGCCCTCCTTTCCCTAGCAGACCTCATCCCACCACCAGCTTTGTGCCCACCCATCCTTAATGTTCACACCAACAGTTCACCATCCTGCAGCTTCATCCTGGCACTTCCTGGTTCATTGTCTGGAAGAAGCAATGCCTTACACGGAGGGGAAAATATCAAAGATATGAGGTCATGGAGGATGTCTGGGTGAGGAGACCTTCCTGCCTCTTCCCCAGATCACATCCTGTATGGAGCCCCTGCCTTGGTGACAATATACAGACTGGGATTACTGACAACAGTGGCTTAGATAAGACAAAGGTGGAGACGACTCTTAGACATTGTGGTGGGCATCGCAGAGCTGATGAGGCTTCTGGACACAGGGACCCAGGCTCCTTCCTGCAGCCATTTTTACTCCCCAGGCTGAGCCTCCTCTTCCTCCTGGTCCTAGAGGCCAGTGGTGCAGGGTCGTGCTTAGCCATCTAAAGGGGACTGCACAGGGGCCTCCTGCTCAGGCACTTCCTTACCTCTTACTGACCAGAACTCAGAGGCAGAGGTGGCTGGGACAGCACGCTTTCAGCTTTTCTTCTTACCTTCTCTGTGTCTAAGGATAGGGGCATGCTTATTCTAGCATGTAGCAGAAGATAAAAACCACCTTGCCAACCTGGGGACAAAAGCCTCAGGAGTCCATTCACAAGTCCCTGCATAGTAAGAGGAGCACCTGACCAGCTCGAGTGGGCTCTTCCCTGAGGCACTGCCCAGGAGATGCCATCGGTCCCACACTGTTGGCCACAGGGAAGAGCCTTGTCCATCTAAGTAGGTGACCCTCTATTGTCCAGGTGGTCAGTGGTCACAGGCTCTGTGCCCCAGGATGGAGAAGAGGGAGAGGGGCAAAAGGAAGGCAAGAAAAGAGGCTGAGATCTGTTTCAGCATTGTCTTGACTTCCCTACATTGCGTGCTTACGCTTGTCTCTTCTTATTTTGTTCCTCTTCCATCCATCCATGCCCTCCAGCCCACGTGCTCCCTGTGCCTCTCGCACATGAGAGTATTAAGGACATGCTGAGGACCTGGCAGAACGAAGTCTGGGGACTTGAAACACAGCAAAAGGGAACTGAGTTGTGAATAGAATAGTGGTGGCCAAGCCACACCTAGGTAGTAGTCAGGCCTGAGTCTAGCAGAGACCCGGCAAAGAGAGGACAGCGGTGGAGACAAAGCCTCTTTGCTAAGCTGCTGTGCAAAGGATTTTTGCACACCGGGGCTCACTCCTCCTCTTGTCTCTGCCCCAACAGCTCTTCACCTCAGAGGCACAAAGCCTGGTACTCCTGACCACGGTGGCCATGCCAGTCTTCAGCAAAAAGAACGAGACGGTGAGTGACTGCTCCCCACGCCTCTGCACATAGCTTAGATCCCAGACCTCTGAGTTCTATAGCCAGCTGCAAGGGTTGGATACAGATTCCCGAGCTCAGTCCTGGGAAAGCCGTGCAAGAAACTCCTGGTCAACTGTGGAGCTGAGAGTCTGTGCTTTCCCAAAGCTCCCAGCCTCAGACAGGGGAAGGGAGGTGGGGGTGACTGCCACCTGCTCTGTTCTTAAAACAGAAGGCTATGGGATCTTCTGCTAGCCTTCCAGATGAACCGCACTTAACTAGCCAAAGTGGGTAGATTCTGCTTGTACATGAAGGCCTCTAGTGAGGGAATTTCCAGAGCTCTCTATAGTCTGTTTGGTCAGAAAATACTTCCTTATGCTTGTGCTAGAGAGAGGCGACATAAGTTATGGTCCTTATAGTCCGTCCTCCGCTGTGAATATTAATATTTCACTTAGCTTTGTATTTCATTTAAATGTCACTACTTAAATATTAATGCAGGGCATTAATCTTCCTAACAGCTGAGCTTGCCCCGGGGCCTTCTCTGACAGTCTACACTTTTATCTGAGGAACTCGGCCTCCAATGCAACTGCAAAGGAAGATCAGCAAAGCCCAGTTTTTCTGACTCTTGCATTTTTCCTTCTAGCGATCCCATGGCATTCTCCTGGGTGTAGTGGGCTCTGACGTGACCCTAAGAGAGCTCATGAAGCTGGCACCCCGATACAAGGTGAGCCTGAGGGGGATCCTGGAAGGGTGAGCCAGAACTTTCCATTGTTGTGACAAGATAGCTGAGAAAATCAGCTTAAATTCACTTGAGCTCACATTTCTGTGGCTGCAGTCCATGGTGGCTTGATCAGAAACCAGTAGGGGACACATGACACTGGCTCCATATGATTGTGTTTAAAACCTACTGTGTTGGAAGAGGGCCACTTATTGGTTCCTGGCCACCCGGCCAACTTAGACCCAAAATAATCGCACAGAAACCATTAGCTCTAGCTTCTTATTGGCTAACTCTTACATATTAATTTAACCCATTTCTATTAATCTGTATATCGCCACGTGGCTGTGGCTTACTGGGTAAAATTCCCAGCGTCTGTCTCCAGTGGCTCCATGGCTCCTCTCTAACTCCACCTTCCTCCTCCCAACTGGCCAAGCCAGTTTCTTTAGCCATTAACCAATAAAAGCAACACATAGACAGAAGGCCCTCCCACACCACCACTGCTAGGATCTTCTGTCTCAGTCATTCCCTTCCCAACCCCTCCCCCACCTAGCCATCCAGTGCATCTAATGCCCTCAACCCTTGGCTTTGGCAGCTTGGGGTACATGGATATGCCTTTTTGAATACTAACAACGGCTACATCCTCTTTCATCCTGACCTCCGACCTTTGGTAGGTAAAGATCTTTGCCTTGAGATTCTAACAATATAAGATTTAGGGACAGTTCATAAAATTGGCTAAATATTCATTGGCCAGTCCATGAGAAAAATGAACGTCATTGTACCTGTTTTCAAACTACTTATTATCTAACAGGATGTACACGGTAAAAAAAATACATGAAACCACACCATAGAGCAGAAATGCAGGCTGGGGTTGTGAGGATGGAGCCCTGAAGGACAGTCCACTTTCCATTACTGAAATGAACATCTGAAATCACCACCTTACAAAGAAAGAACTACGTCAGTCCATGGCTGGTTGAACCTCTTGTTTTAATGCTTTGTGGGGTGCATGCAGCATAGCATGATGGGACCATGAGACAGAGTAAACCTGTGGACCCCAGGCGACAAAATGAAAGAGACTCCGGTCCCATAGCCCTCTTGAAGGACATTAAACCCCTGACTAGGCTTCATCTCCAAACTCTCCACCATTTTCCAACTGTGCCATGCTGGAATCCAGCCTTCTACATAGAGACCTTGGGGAGCTGTTTAAGAGACAAACCATGAGGGAGAGATGGCTCAGCAGTTAAGAGCACCTGGGTTCAGTTCCCAGAACCCTTTTCAGCCAGCTCATAACCTCCTTTAGCTCCAGTCCCAGGGGATCCCATACCTCTGGCCTTCATGGGCACCCGCATTTATATTTACATACCCACATGCAAATATACACGCATACACTTAATTAGGAAAAATAATAAATCTTTTTAAAAAGCCTAATCACTGCAGACGTCTATTACAGATAAACTGTCCCAGTGAGTCCATCCCTCCTACAACCCACAGATGGACCATCAGAACCCCAGAGGACTGGGAAGGGATTGTAAGCAATGAATTCACAATTAAAAATAGCAAGGCCCTCTCACAAAGGCAGTGAACGGCCCCCTGAGCTTACCTTTTGATGCTTCCCAGAGCCCCTGTACCCTTCGAACTTTGTCCAGGAGCTGTGGGTATTTTCGCGTGAGTTCCCCTGAGCACCTGGTATCTGAAAACACTGCCTCTGGGGCATCCACACTGTCCGTAGTAGCAATGACCACACGGCTGGCATGATGGCTGGAAAGGTGAAGGGAGCTGGCGTCGTGGCGACATCTTAAATCTGCTCCTCTTCAGTCTTCTAAGGAACCCCAGAGGAGTCTTGGGTAGCAGGAGAATTGATGAACTGGCTTCTCTGCCCCAGGAGTCATTTGGGAGACTAGTTGAACCGTGGTGCATGTCAATTAGCTCAAGTGGATACAGAATATTCCCTAAGACATTTGACCGAGCCACTTAAGGTTCATGGTAAGGCTCCTATGGGGACACACTGTTCTTTTCCCCTCTGTCTTTCCAATTCAGACTCAGCAGGGCCTATATCTGAACCAATGGATGGTCTTATACCAACAGGTTCTTGGGGACCGGTGCTATCAAATGACTTGCAGTGAGAGAACATGTAGGTTGATCCCAGGGTTGACAGATAGAATGAAGGGGCATGGACCAGAAACCCACCTATCAGCATCTATGTAGGCAACTCACACGAATAATGCTCTCACCAGCCAATCATGTTGTGGACCTACTATATGCCTGATTTAACTGTGCCTGTAAACATAAGGACACATCTGATTAAGAAAAGAAAATGCGTGAAGGCATGTGGCAGGCAGTGCTTACCAAACGACGCAGTAAGGTTAATGCCATGTACTACATAAGGAAAGCGCTATCAGGCAAGCAAAAGGTACAATTTCAGAAATCAAAATAATAGAGGATATTCCTAACAATAGAATAAAAGGGGGCCAAGATGCAAGCCGGGGCCTTTCTGTGTCAATGGCCTAGCCAGATTACATGTTTATTCAGAGAGGCTGAGGACTGACTACCATCTGCCAGGTGTAGTCAGGACTTAGGAAATGCACCGGACTGTTCCCGAAAAGCAGCTCAGGCATAAGAGGGCAGGGCAGCGCTGTGTGGTGAGCGTGGACGTCAGGAAGACGTCTGAGAGCAGAGCATCGTGTGGGCGATGGGTACGGAGGCAAGGCAAGTAGGGACAGTGTTGGGACAGCCATGCTACAATCAGGACAGAAAAAATAAAACGCACGTAAACGAAACAACTAGCAGAAGCAAGACAAGCAATGACAGGGACTCAGCCTCCCAGACATCTACTGGGGACCCGCTTTCAGGAGGAGACGGCGCTGTTTTTAACGTGCTCTGATGATAAACTCCCCTTTACTGATGGCTTTACTAGGCTAGACCAGGGAAGGACCACAGGCGTAATTGTAGACAACTGATGGCATCTGTCACAAAGAAAGAGTACGAAAGCAAGAAAACGAGAGCGCGCGAGAGGGAGAAAGAACAAGAGGATAACACCCCGCTCGGAGAACTGGCTCATGGATCTGTGTCCAGTTTTGGAGCCAGGTGGTTATTAAACACTGTTGATCTGCCCTTGGACCTGACCAATTAAAATAAATCTATCAAGATGAAATGCTGCCTTAAAATCTGGAAGAGAAAACCGATTGCTCAGAAAGTGTTCTAAAATGATCATCTGAGATTAACAAGATGGAATGTATGAGAAATAGGTGGGCGCCCACAAACTGAGCACCCTCGTGTAGGAGGGAGTGCGCCGCATGAGAACACCGAGGGGATTCGGCTGGCTAATGGCACCATCTGGGCTGCCAAGCTGGCCTGGCCGTCCAAGCCGCCAACAGAGACAGTCAGAGCTCTACTGTGTTTCAGTCCACACAGCGTACCTCTCAACTGCTGGCCAGACTCCGTGGGCAATATTGATTTCTTCCCTGGCAGCTCTGTTTTCAGGGTGACATTGACAGAGCTGAGCATCGCTTCAGAGAGCTGAGATATTTTCAGACTGAATGTTTAGCTGAGACAGTCAAGATTGAGCATCCCAAGCTCTGTCGGGAGGAACACATTCTGGGTGGTTCCAGAAGAAAACTGACAGCAATAAGTAAAAGTTCGGAGACAGGTTTGAACTCCACGGGAGGGAGAACTTCCTAGCAATGAGGGCTGTCCAAACTGGGACAAGCTGTCTCACAAACTAAGGAGATCCCTGGCATGAGAATGTGCTACGCTCAGGAGGCCGGAGGCCATCTGTGGCACGCACTGGCCAGAGCAGTTTTACACTGAGTAAAAGTTTGGCCTGGGTCATCCTGGGAGATCATAGGATGCTTTGATTGTGTGATGGTATTTGAAAGATTTTAGAGTGGAGGGAACAGGGTAAATGCTGACCCCGCCTTTTCGTCCCATCTGGCCCACTCCAGTACAGAGACGGCAAGACAGTGAGACCCAAACCCAACTACAACAGCGTGGACCTCTCGGAAGTGGAGTGGGAGGACCAGACGGAAACCGTGAGTCGGGAGACAGGCGGCGTGAGATGCTACTCACCCAGTGAGCCCTGTAGCCAGCGAGCAAGCCCTGGGGGCACGGGGATGCTGAGGCTGCTGGACAGCTCTGGAGCAGAGCCTTTGGCTCTGTGCCTGCCATTCTTCCAGCAGCTAAAGATGCCACAGGGTGACTGAGGACTGAAATTGTGCCTGCAAGCCCAGCATGGGCTTAGTGTTGTGCTTAACTTCCAGTTTCTCTATCACACCCAGAGGAGATTATGTCTCAGCAACACAACACTGTATCCCAAAGCATCCATCCCTTCAGAGCGCTGCCTCCATGAAAGCCCAGAACTGTGAGCCGGAGGTGCCTAGCCCCAGGCCCATCTCCCCTCCTAGAACTTTGCTCAGAGGAAAACAGAAAAACCAGTATCCTAGGGATCCTAAGACAGGGTCAAAGCCCCAAATCTCCCTTCTTCAGGTGAACAGGCACCAACTCTCCTTTCTTTCCTCTTAAAGCTGAGAACTGCCATGATCAACGGGGAAACAGGTTCTCACTCCATGGACGTGAAAGTGCCACTGGACAAAGGGGTAAGGAACGAGGGACAGTGCCCATGAGGTCCCAGCAGGCAGCACTGAGCCCGGACTTAGATTTTACTGTGGCTTTGGGAGTGTGAGGAGAGAGAGAAGGTGGGGACAGGGTAGGAACTGTGCTGTTGATTTCATTGATGCTCCGTTCTTTCATGTTTGTTTGCTTGTTTGTTTTTATTTCTTGAAATGGGGTTTCTCTGTGTAACAGCTCTGGCTGTCCTGGAACTCACATTGTAGACCAGGCTGGCCTTGAACTCACAGAGATCCGTCTGTGATGCTCCATTCTATAGAAACTACAGAGTAGGGTGGTTGTCCGGGTCCCTCGCAGCTCTTCCTTCTTCCCTCCACTGCCTGCTATTTGGCCCTGTAGTTGTTTATGATAGAAGGGGAGAAAGTGACAGTTAATTTTGCAAACTGCCAGCAGCTCTGCTAAAACATGTCACATGGGGAAAGGCTGGAAAGGCTCACCGCTCCTTATAGCTGACTTTTATCCAAACACAGAGCATGGAAACAAATACCCTCACTATAGAGAGTCAAAATCAGAAACCCCCACTATCTGTATAAGCCTGTGTGTCATCCGAAAAGACATTTCATCTTCTCACTTAAAAGGCTCTGATGAGTCCTCTGAATTTGCATCGTCCCTTGACATATTAGCAAATGTCACCTCCTCCTATGCAACCACCCCCACCACCTCCTTCATTACCCACCTGCCTCCGCTCAAAGAACACAGCATCTGTCTGCAGCAACTAGACCCATGTCCTCCACTGTACTCAACTCTCCGCAGAGGCCAAACTGAGAGGTGCTGGCCAGTGTCCCTTCTAGAGAGGGACTTGGTCTCCACCAGGACTGCTGTGGACTTCTGCCTCATCAGACACACCGGGAATGTCAGTAAAGCCAGGTCACCACTGATAACAAAAGAGTCATGGTTCCTTCCCTGTGCCTTCAACATGCCCTACGACCTCTGCTAAGGTACAGCGTGCCAGGACATTGAACCTAGCATGAAAACCCTAATGTGCGCATGGCCACTCAACAACCATAATGTTGTGCCATGTCTAATGCATTGGTACACCCAGTGGGTGAATGTGCACTCGCCCTTTCTCCCGGGGCCCAGGGTTATCTCCAGGCCTCTCCATCATTCTCAAAGCCACCAGGCAGGGTCCTAACCGGGAGAAACAGAAACTTCTTCCTGCCTGGGAAATTTGCTCATTGCTACTAATAAACCATTTCAGAGTATCAAGACTTCCTGAAACATGCGGGCATCAGAGGAGCAGGATGGTGGTGGCGATGGTAACTGGGATGCTGGCTTCTTAGGACACAGATTCCTGTCTTCCTACTGCTAACACCACCAATAATGGCAGTCTAGATTTATCAGAAGTGAGACTGAGCATAGTACAGATGCCCATTTATTCAGCTACCCTACAGAGGCCGGTTTCTTATCATCTACATCTTGCGGATGGAGACATCAGAGAAGCCAGAAACTAGACTAGGACTATGGAAAATCACAGGATCTAGACTTCAGGCCTTTGAGCTCTGTTTGCTTGGAGTTCCAGTCTCAAAGACTTCTTCGAGTGTCTAGAAAAACATTTCTTTTCTTTATAAAATTGGATTATGGAGCAACAGGTTTCCTTATGCCACTTCCTGCATAGTTCTAGTTAGTCCTCCCCTCACTCTCCCTCCCTCCATCTTCCCATCCTCCACCCAGGGCTCCCTTCCACTCCTGTATTACATTTGTTCCATTGCCCTCTCTACCGCTCTCCTTTAAAGTCTCCTTTCCTCTTCCATGAGCCCCTTTCTGGTTTCCTAGCCTCTACACACACTTGTTTCCATGTAGATACATATGTGTGTGATACATATATTATATAATTATATGATAGATATGTGTGTGGATTACATAATTATATAGGTCATATACACTTACATAATTAGAAACTAGGGGGGGCTGGAGAGATGGCTCAGCGGTTAAGAGCATTGCCTGCTCTTCCAAAGGTCCTGAGTTCAATTCCCGGCAACCACATGGTGGCTCACAACCATCTATCTGTAATGAGATCTGGTCCCCTCTCTGGTCTGCAGACATACACACAGATAGAATATTGTATGCATAATAAATAAATAAATATTTAAAAAAAATAATTAGAAACTAGGACCCACGTGTGAGAGAAAACACATAATACTTTCCTTTCTGGGGCTGGGCTACCTCACTCAGTACATTTTCCAGCCCCATCCTGCCCCTTTCTGGCTAGTTCCATTCCTCCCCCGAGACCCCTCCCCATCTGCTTCATATCACACGTATCCCATGATCCTCTTTTCCCTCCTCTGCCATGTCGCCCATCCCCTGGTGACTCCTTTTCAAGTTTCATAACTTTCGCACATGGATACATAAATACACACATTTGTATAGACACCCACGCGTCGTTTTAAATCTACATCCCACACGAGTGAAAACACGGAGTGTTTGTCTTCCTTAGTCTGCCTTATTTCACTTAACATATGATCTCCACTTCCATTCATTTCCCTGCAAATGTCATGACTTCACTTTTCTTTTGAGGAGTTCCAAAACTTGTGTGTGTGTGTGTGTGTGTGTGTGCGCGCGCGCGTGCTCTGCCTGTTTTTAAACCATTCATCTGTTGATAGAGATCTAGACTGATTCATTTCTTAGCTGCCGTGAACAGAGCAGCAATGAACAAAGAAGGATAGGTAAACTTGTGGGGTGTTGCCTTAGACTGCCCAGGAACACACCCAAGAGTGTTCTGACTGGGTCATATGGCGGTCTTATGTTTCGTGGTTTGAGAAACTGTCAAGTTTGTGTTTGTCTTGAAATGCCCTTACGTCTCCATCAACTTTTAAAGACATCTTTGCTGGACACAGCGATCTTAGTCAGCAGGTCTGTATTCTCAGGACTCAAATACATTATTGCATCTTTTCCTGGCACTGAGAGCTGCTAAAAATAAGCTTGATGTTTCTTTCTTTGGTGATGTGTTAGATTTTTTTCTCTTACTGCTTTTAGTTAATTTATTTTATTTTATTTTTAATTATGTGTATGTGCCTGGGTAAATGTACAGACGTGCACATGTCCTGCGAAACCCAGAAAGGAGTTTTAGATCCCCTGGAGCTGGAGTTACAGAAGATTGTGGGCTGCCATGTGGGTGCTAAGAATCAAACCCAAGTCCTCTGCAAGAACAGTGGGTGTTTTTGACCACTGAACCATCTCTCCACCCCCTCTCAAAGTTCTTATTATTGCTTCTGTGGTAGTTTGGATGTAATTGGCCCACCTAGTCTCATAGGAAGTGGCACTATTAGGAGGTGTGGCCTTGTTGGAGGAAATGTATCACTCTGGGGGCAGACTTTGAGGTTTCCTATGCTCAGGTGACCGCCAGTGTCTGTCTCAGTCGGCTTCCTATTGCCTACAAGACCATAAGCCTCTCAGCTATTTCTCCCACACCACATCTGCCTGCATGCCGTCATGCTCCCTGTCATGATGATAATAGACTGAACCTCTGAAACTGTAATCCAGCCCCAAATAAGATGTTTTCCTTTATAAGAGTTGCCATGGTCATGGTGTCTCTTCACAGCAATGAAAACCCTAACCAAGACAGCTCCTTTGCTTTTTATTTTTGACTTCCTGTCTGTAAAATGCCATATGTCATAGTGAAGATCTTCTCTGGTCATGTCTGTTTGGGGTTCTAAATGCCTGCTGTGTTTAGGTATCTATTTCTTTCTCTAAATCTGGGGAGGAGCTGTTCTGCTATAATTCATGAAATAAATATATTATCTACACCTTGAGTGTTTAGTCTAAGCTCTTTATTCTGCTGGAGCTTCTTAGGCTTGATGCCTTAAATAGACCCCAGAGTTCTTGGAAGTTGTGATCATGTTCATTTTTATCCTAAGTAATGTTTAAATGCAGGGGTTCATCAACCTTGTCCTGCACCCCTGCTGTTTTTTCTTCTATATATCTATTGCTAATGCTTTCCACTGTGATTTTTTTTAATTCATTAAGTTCTTAGTTTCCAACTTTTCTAATTTCTTTTAAGACCCAATCTCCTCGCTGCCCTTTTCTCTTTCATTCTAATGACTTTCTCATGTTTGTCTTCCCACTTCTCTCTCTAAGTTGCTGTCTTTTTTTATCCAGGTCCCGAACTAAATTAATTTGATGATTCACAGCCCCTTTCAGGTCCCGTTCAGTGTTTATTACTTTATTTGTTGGCAGTTTATTCTGACCATATCCATCCCTCTGTCCTTTCTCCGCCCTCACCGACAAGCTCCCTGTCCCACTTCCCTGGCTCTTTGGGTTTGCTCTGTGATCCTCTGGGTTGATCCAGGGCCACTCATGTGGGGTTAGATGTAAACCTACCCCCTGGCAGATGAGTGACTCTCCAGTGGCTGTCACCGAAGAATTGTCTGCCCCCAGCAGTCACTGGCTGCTGTTGGTCCTCTTCGTGGGACAGGGATAATTGAGCTCTTTACCCTCTGCGAGTGCGTGAGTCCAGTCTTGCTCCACGTGAGAAACCGCAGGTCTACCAGTGCCAACACATAGCGTGTTCTATTTTTTGTTAAGTCTTCAGTTTTATTTTCTAACAAGTTTTCCAACTCTTGCTCTCTTTTGATGAAACTGTGTGTCACACTAGACAACAAACCCACACGCACATTCTTATTGTCAAAAGGGAAACAAAAACCTGCATCTCAGGGAAATTTTACATTTCAGTGAGTTACAAAGCAGCGTGGTGACATTCCAGCCCTGTCAGTGTGGGAACAGCAGCGTTGACTTGGGGGGAAGCCAGGCTGGTGTCGGGAAAGAGCTTGGTGCTCAAGGCCAGCTGGGCTCCTTGCTTCCTCTCTGATATGAGGCAGACACTTGAAGACCGTCAGCTGCCACTGAAGAACTAGACATCAAGAGCTCCAGAGATCACAGTAGGGACGAGAAGAAACCTGAACATATCCTGTACCCCCAATCTCACCCAAGACAGCTGTCTCATTGGTTCCATAATGGCAGGGAAGGCATGTCAGCCAGAACAGGAAATGCCTGCATACAGAAGCAGAGAGGTCTCTATGTGCCCTTAGGTTGGCCCTCCTACCTACTGTTCAGATCTAGCGTCCTTTCTGCCCTTGTTCAGCAGTGTTCTCTTGGGGGAGGAGATGGCCATGTCCTGCTTACAGTTCAGCAGTCGCTTGTTCTCAGAGCCTTGACCATGAACGCCTGTGCGGCCACCACTCTCTGTAAAGAGAAGTATCTTTGACCAAGGCAGGGGTCAGCACTACTGCCTGGATAGAAACATAAATATTTGGTAGGCAGTCTGGGATTGCCATTATCCACCTATCCATGGAGCCTCTATTCAGAATCTTTTTAAACTTGTTTTTAAATCAGCTTATAAAATAGTGTGTCTACATGTGACTTCTGACAGCCTAATTTCGGTTAACGCCATTGTAAACTCACCACATTCTAGAATTGCCTGAGAGGCTTCACGCTGGATTGTCTAGATGAAGTTTTCCCATGGATATGTCAGTGTGTGGTTGTCCTGGTTACCTTATCTGAGGTGGGAACCCCAGCCTAAAAGTGGGACGCACCACCCACTGAGTTTGAATTCCAGGCTCTAAGAGGGAAAGAGAAGGTGGCCTGAGCACCAGGCAGACATGCATTCGCGCGCTCTCTGCTGCAGCTGACTGGGTATAACTAGCTGCTTCAAGTACCTGCCACCCTGAACAACCACGGGCTATGACCTGGCATTGTGAGCCTAACTAAACCCTTCCTTCCCCTGTGGCTTTTGTCTAGGTGTTTTATCACATAAACACAGAGAAACTAGGACACCGTGTTCTGCCCGGGCCGCACCCTTTCCCTGTTTAAACCTGGCCATCCTCCGTATTCCCTCTATTTTCATGTCGTGTGTGCCCTGCCACCTGCACCCTCCTGGGCATCCTTTTAAGTTGGAAGAATTATGTTCTTGCTGCTTCAGTCTTGCTGCTGGCCACGGGTCTGTTTACATTATTTATTTCATCTTGGTTTAATTTTGGTTGGTCATATGCATGTAGGATCTCATCCATTTATTGTAGATTTTCCAGTTGTCTAGAATCTGTGTTTTTAGGGTGTGCTCTGAGGGTGTTCCGAATTCCTCTGGGGTCTGTTGTTGTGTCTCCCCTCCCATCTCGAATTTTATGAATGCGGGATATTCTCTTTAATTCTTTATTTTGGGTAATTTGGCTCAGCTTGTCAGTCCTGTTTCTCTTTCAACGAACCAACCCTTCATTTCATTGGCTCTTTGTGTTGTTTCTGTTGTTGTTCTTTCTGGTTCATTTCATTTCTGTCCTTGTCATAATTATTTCTCCTTATTTACTGCTTTGGGGTTTGGTTTGTTCTATCTTTCTTTATTTATTTCTTTATTTCTGTTTGCTTTGTTTTTCAATGTAACCCTGGTTGTCCTGGAACTCACTCTGTAGACCAGGCTGGCCTCAAACTCACAGAGCTCCACCTGCCTCTGTCTATCTAATACTGGGATTAAAGGTGTGTGCTACCACCACCTGGCTGTTTTTGTTTTTCTAAGTCCTTAAAGTACATCATTATGTTATTTGAGTTCTCTCTGACTTTTTTTTTTTTTTTTTTTGGTTTTTCGAGACAGGGTTTCTCTGTGGTTTTGGAGCCTGTCCTGGAACTAGCTCTTGTAGACCAGGCTGGTCTCGAACTCACAGAGATCCGCCTGCCTCTGCCTCCCGAGTGCTGGGATTAAAGGAGTTCTCTCTGACTTTATGTGGGTACTTTGCTTTTAAGACTTCATTGTGTCCCATAGCTTTCTGTGTGTTTTCCTGTTTATTCCATTTTAGATTTGTTTTTACTTCTTACTTGATTTCTTGAGTGATCTATTCGTCATTCAGCAGTGTGCTGTTTCATATCCATGCATTTGTGTGCTTTCTACAGTTTCTGCTGTTATTGCCATCTAGCTTTACTTCATTGCCATAGGAGCTGTGGGCTTGTCGTGGGGGCTGTGGTCTTGTCGTGGGGGCTGTGGTCTTGTCGTGGGGGCTGTGGTCTTGTCGTGGGGGCTGTGGTCTTGTCGTGGGGGCTGTGGGCTTGTCGTGGGGGCTGTGGGCTTGTCATGGGGGCTGTGGGCTTGTCGTGGGGGCTGTGGTCTTGTCGTGGGGGCTGTGGGCTTGTCGTGGGGGCTGTGGGCTTGTCGTGGGGGCTGTGGGCTTGTCGTGGGGGCTGTGGTCTTGTCGTGCAGGCTGTGGGCTTGCCATAGGGGCTGTGAACTTGTCATAGGGGCTGTGGGCTTGTCGTGGGGGCTGTGGTCTTGTCGTGGGGGCTGTGGTCTTGTCATGGGGGCTGTGGTCTTGTCGTGCAGGCTGTGGGCTTGCCATAGGGGCTGTGAGCTTGTCATAGGGGCTGTGGGCTTGTCGTGGGGGCTGTGGGCTTGTCGTGGGGGCTGTGGGCTTGTCGTGGGGGCTGTGGGCTTGTCGTGGGGGCTGTGGTCTTGTCGTGCAGGCTGTGGGCTTGCCATAGGGGCTGTGAGCTTGTCATAGGGGCTGTGGGCTTGTCGTGGGGGCTGTGGGCTTGTCGTGGGGGCTGTGGGCTTGTCGTGGGGGCTGTGGGCTTGTCGTGGGGGCTGTGGTCTTGTCGTGCAGGCTGTGGGCTTGCCATAGGGGCTGTGAGCTTGTCATAGGGGCTGTGGGCTTGTCGTGGGGGCTGTGGACTTGTCATGGGGGCTGTGGGCTTGTCATGGTAGCTGTAGGCTTGTCGTGGGAGCTGTGGGCTTACTGTAGGGTCAGAACTGCTGACTTTCCTCAGGTTGGCCCTCCAGCTGTGATTTCTGCCCCACCTCCAACCATCCACTCTCCCACCTCCACCTCCCCACCCTACACCCCCGTGAGCACACAACTGAGGCTGAGTCCTGCTGGTGTCTGTCCTTTTGCTTCCTTTGTGGGTTCCTTCTCATTCACTCTTTGGAATAGCATCTATTTTTTTCTAACAGTTTTTCTAAAAGTTAAAGAGGTAGGGTCGGGAGAACAGTGTCCCTCTCTCCTCCGGGAAGATGTGAGTCAAATGTCCACACCCCAGCTCCAGATATTTCCAGCCCCAGTGTCACCTCCCTGTCCTGAAGGAAGCCGAGACTCACGCTGCCTGCAGGGTCCAGCACAGCAGTCAATGGATCATCTGAATTACGTGGATGTTGATTAAAAATGATTAATATGTTGCAAGTGCTGAGCTGGCTGCACAAGCTGGGCAAGCCTGGATCTTAGAGGCTGCAACAAAAGGCCAGTTTGCTGAGCTGTGAGCTGTTTCTGGCCACGAGTGTCCATAAACGGGGTTGAGATGGCTGATGAGTGAGGTCTGCGGAGGGTACAGGGAGATGACCAGAGACCAAGGGTGTGGGTGGAGGGCAGGAGGCCAGCACCACTCTGGCACCTAGCCAGGACCCTTTTCTTTTGCTCTCAGAAGCGGGTTCTGTTCCTGACCAATGACTACTTCTTCACGGACATTAACGACACGCCTTTCAGGTGAGCCAGGGCGGGAGACAGAGCGGAAATGCCACAGGCTCATGAGGGTACTTTAGGGTTTGAGAGCCGATTCGTTCTCACCAATTTAGCAATTCTGTGTTGTTAGCAAAGGATCCTAGTCAGTTAGCATTCAGGAAATGAGCTCTAGATGGGCTTTGCCAGCGTGGCTAAATGTCCAGTTCTGAAGCCCAGCTTTGAGTTTGAATCCCAGCTCCCCCACTTACGGCCTTTGTGGCCTGAGTCAAGGCACGTGACTTCCTCAGATGTCATCTGTGATGTGTGAGTGACGGTGATAGCAGCTGCTTCCGACCGAGCGGAGGTTGACACGACACACTCTACATAGATGGCGGTGTGGGACGGGAGGAAGAGTTCTAAGGTTCCCTCCGTCATTTCCCCGTGCCACTCAGGTTCCCTGCTCTCACCACCCACTAGAATACCTGAGGACGTCTCAAGATTGCTAACGGCTAGGCCCGTGCAAACCAACAGTGTTGGCACTGAGGCAGAGCCCAGGTGCTACACCTCTGAATGCTCCCCAAATTCAAATCTAATGTGCTACCAAGAGATGGGGTTCAGTAGGGAAGGAGCCTCCTCAGAGAATCCTGAGAGCCATAAACATTTCAGGGTCCCTGGAAAATCAAGTACTTCCTTCCTCCTTAAGTATCCAGGGAGCCCCAGAAACCATGGTCTGTGGCATTTCCAGGGCCCTTCCTGGGAAGAATGACTGATAAACTAGCAGTCCCTTCCTGGTTCCCAAGGGGACGACCTATGAGGCCAGTCTAAAGGGGAGAGCTAGAAAGGTGGGCCATTGCCCTGTGTCCAAAGGCTCCTTGAACAAGTAACGAAAACAGATGCAGCAACTGTGCACACAGCCACCCTCTCTTCTCTCTAGCTTGGGAGTGGTGCTGACCAGAGGCCATGGGGAATACGTCCTCCTGGGAAACACGTCTGTGGAGGAAGGTAGGTCACGCCGTGTGCTGACTGTAATGTGATGTGTGGTAGGGGATTCGCTCTCCCAGGTTGCTGAGCAGGGTCAACCCAGGGTGGACTCGGGGTGAGCATTTCCAGCCAGACGAGGTGGCAGAGAAGGGCCTCACCCCGATCCCAGTCCCTGAGCCGACTTAACCTCAGCTGTTTGCCCACGGTCTCTGCCTGTAATTTCCCAAAGCTTCATTGAGCACCTACTTATGTTTGAGCACCGGGATCTCACTCACTCATTCCATCAGCAAGTGTACTAAGTGCACAGTCAGATGGGCTAAGAGCCCAGCGAGGCTCCAGAGCTCACTCGGCAGGCACAACCCACCAGGCTCATCTCTAGCTGGCCACTGTCACAGCCGTGTATGTTAAAATCAAGGAAGACAAAATCACTGCTTTCCAAGCGTTAGCTCCTCGAAGGGAGGCGTTAAGAGGGTGGGGCTTGCAAAACACTGGTATCTAAAGAGGTTTGAGACTGTAGCCCCCAAAGCCAAGAGGTGTGTTCATGAAAACCCTTCCTGCAAAAAGATCTGTAGACCCCAGGCCACAGGTTATGAGCTTGAGTATGGACTTTGTTTTCAGGCCTGCATGACTTGCTTCATCCGGATCTGACCCTGGCCAGTGACTGGTAGGCAAGGATGTAAGGGTGGGAGGGAGAAAAGGGGCGGGGATCTGAGGTAACATGGGTTCCCTGCATTTCTAGGATCTACTGCATCACGGATATCGACCCAGACCACCGGAAACTCAGTCAGTTGGAAGCTGTGGTCCGCTTCCTGACAGGGATGGATCCAGGCCTGGAGTGTGAGTCCCCTAATGCATGCCTCTGAATTTGTCCTCTACGCCCCAGCAGCTCAGGGCTTCCCAGAGGAGGAAAGTGCCATGAACCCATCTCGGGATGGCAAGCGTATCTTGAGGAGAACGAGAAGAGGCCCCAAAGAAACAGGCAGAGCTAGCTGGAGCCGTGAACCGTGGAGGACGTGGGCATTCCAGGAACTAGAGGCCTGCACAGGGCTCCTCGTGTCAGAGGCCAGGACTCTCTTCAGCCCCTTTCAGCCCTCCTGCTTGTCCAGTCTATCCCCACCACCTTAACATGGGCAAAGAGCAGACACTGTCTTCAGGGTCTCAGTTCTGCCAAGCATAGCATTTGGTCAGGCGGTTTCTTCAATCCCTTGGTCTGGAAGGATGTGCCGAGTCTAGGCACTCAGGCCTCTGGCCAGCTCACTCCGCCATGGCCCTCAGCAAGTCCCTACCTCCTCTCCAGTTGTCCAGCTACATGTGTGTTCTCCCCGTGAAAAGACCATCTCCCGAACCAACCTTCCAGGGCATCCGTTTGTCTCCCCATCAGCTAACAAGATTGAAGTGACCATGTGCTTGCACTAGACCTGGGGCAAGGACCGAGATACAGACAACCCAGGCAAAGCCAGGCACTTACAGAAACTGGAAATTTAGGGAAGAAGTCAGATAGTGATCGAGGCTGTTCACATAGGTAATGATACAGTCATGACAGGTGGATGGGGCGCTGAGGAAGGTGTGGAGGGAGGGGAGAGTAGGATTAATAGGGATGAAGACCCCAGGTCTGGGACCTTCTTTGAAGACAAAAAAAGTTGTTGTTTTTTTTTGAAGTCCATGGAGTGGGTTCTACAGTCATGTACATGTAGCCATTGAGTTGAATACTGTAAGTTAGTTTGTTGCGATGTAAATTTCACTTCAATGAAAAGTTAAAACAGTTCTAAGAGAGGGGCGGAGAATGCCACCTAAGTAGAGAGGAGGAAGAGAAGCCAGGCCGGGGAAGCAGCAGACACGGGGGCACTGAGACAGGGCAGCGTAGAGCCAGGTCAGGCCTGCAGCACCCACAGCCACCGGCATGTCCCACATCCAGGAGCAGGGGGGTGGGAGCTGTCACAGCTGGGCTGGATCAAGAGAATATCTAGACTCCCCAGTGTTGAGCTGGCGGGGGCCTTCAGTGACAACCCCCATCTTTTCTGTGGCTGAGAACTTGAAGGCAGAACAAGGAGGGTTGGTATTTTTATGCCCACTCAGATGGCTTGAATAACCAGAGACACCAGCAAAAGTCATCCTTCTCCTGACTTCGATAGGGTGGGGGCTGTGCTGTGGGCATTGTTATTATTATTAGACAGACTAGTCTCAAACCTGCTATGTCGCCAAAGATGAACAACAACTTGTGAGCCTCTACTTTCAAGAGCTGGGAACCTAGGCTTGCACCACAACTGAGCTAGATCCCCAGCTTCTAGAAGCTGTGCACTTCTTGATAGGTTGGGGCTGGGGCAATAGGTGACATGTGGCTAGCTCCTGTGACTTTACCTCCAGGTGACGAGGAGCTGATACGGGAGGTGCTGTTTGATGCAGTGGTGACAGCCCCCATGGAAGCCTACTGGACAGCACTGGCACTCAACATCTCTGAGTATGTACAAGAGGGACCCCGATGAGGACAGGGACACAGGGATATGATGGAATGGGGAAGGGTGAGACTGGCCTTCACACACTGCTGTGAAGCAGGCTCCCATCCCACAACTCCTACCAGCTCCTCACTCTAAAGCATCAGGTACAGCTTCCCCAGGCAAACACCCAGTCCAAGACCTGGGATGAACGTGTTTTCTTGGTTGGTCTCCCACTACCTAAGAAGCTCCCCCAGGGAAGCGCAAGACAGACAAATGGGAAAAAAAGTAACAAACTAAATCTTGCCAGGGCGGTGGTGGTGCAGGCCTTTAATCCCAGCACTCGGGAGGCAGAGGCAGGCGGATCTCTGTGAGTTCGAGGCCAGCCTGATCTACAAAGGGAGTTCCAGGACAGGCTCCAAAGCTACAGAGAAACCCTGTCTCGAAAAACCAAAAAAAAAAAAAAAAAAAAAAAAAAAAAGACAGATAAATGGAGACTTACTTCCAGCTTCGAAGGAAGGCTACCCAACCTGTTTGGCCTCAGTGCTTCCCAGACCCGAGATTTCCCTCATCCTCCCACTGGCTTTGTCTTGGTGGGATTGTATTGCTTGGCTAGACAGAAAAATGAGTACCGTGTATGTGTCTCAAGAGGTAGGCGGCCAGGGTAACATTAACGAGGTAAGGGCTATAGCACTTGTTTCCTAATAGAAAGGTTCAAAATCATAGATGTCAAACCTCCCTAACACTTGAGTTTGCTGCCTCTCCTATATACAAAACAAACTCCTATTTTTAAAGGCGCGTGTGCAATGTGCTCCATTTCTTCTAGAGGGGGGCCAGAGGGGCCAGAGCACAGTGTCCGTGTGCATGTATGCATGTGCATCCGTTTTCCAGGAAGGCTGTTCAGCAAAGGTTCTGAGGGCTTCTCTCCGATTACAAAAATAGGTCGTTGAACTGCATACATTTTTGGTGCAACTTTGAACCATATAAATGTGGGAATACAAATAAACCTAAAATAAAATCGATAGGGCCAGATACTAGCACATAGTGTATTGAGGGGCAAATGTTCTTCACATAGCTTCTACCAAAAATAAATGGTCTGAAGTGGGGGCTAGGAAGATGGCTTGGTAAAGTGTCATGCAAGCATGAGGACCTAAGTTTGGACCCCCAGAACCCACATAAAAAGTCAGGCATAGTACCTTACTTTTGTAACCCCATGCTGATAGGCAGATCCTTAGAGTTATTGGCCATTTGGTGAGCTCCAGGGTCAGCGAGTGACCTTTGTCCATATAAATAAGGTAGAGAGCAACTGAAGAAGACACTCCACACCAACTCTGACCTCAAAGTGCATGCATGTACACATGCACATGTTCCCACAGACACATGTACACACATATAACACACACATAAAATTAAAAGCCAACATGTTGTGGGGGGTTGGAGGCTCTCTTTCCTACTGAAGATGCCAACAAGCACACCCCATCCCCCTCCTACACAAAAAGATCAGAAAGCACTAAGCTCGACAAAAGAACGTACTTCTAGCCAACGAGAAATGAAGAAAGAAAATTGTCTCTGGTTAAAGATGACATGAGCAGGGGGCAAGGTGGGGTGACTCCATGGTAGATCAACTGCGTAGCATGTATGAGGCCCCAGGCTCCATACCTCCAAACCCAGCACCGAAAAGTAAATAGCTATTGTGTATCAGAAAACTTCAAAATAACAGGAAAATCACTATAGCCAATTAGGGAATTTAGTAAAGTGGAATGTTATAATATCAATGTTCAAAAATTAGTAAAACCCGGAGCTGGAGAGATGGATTAGTAGTTAACGGTGCATATTGCTCTTACCGAGGACCTGAGTTTGGTCCTCAGCACCCGTGCTCAGTGACTCACAGCTGCCTGTAACTCCAGCTCCTGGGGATCTGACGCCACCTTCTGGCTTCCATGGGTACTTACGCTCACAGGCATTTACCCACACAGAGACATGTCCATTAAAAATAAAATTTTATTTTAAAAATTAATAATACTTATGCACATAAATAGCCCCTGAAAAAAGATATAATATGAAAAGACTTTAGGCTGGTAAGAAATAAAAATATTGTTCTAGAATTGCCAGAACACATTGAACGCACCATGTGAGAACCCCTCAGACATTGGGCAACATTGGGCTTGTGGCACCAGCCTGTGATTCCAGCTACTCTGAGAGCTGAGGCAGGAGGACTGAAGGCTCCAAGCCTGCCTGGGCTATAGGGTAAGATGTCATCTCAAAAAGTAACGCAGGATTCAGCTCAGTGGCAACAGGCAAGAAGCCCTAGGTTTAATCTTGGGATATGGGGGGGGGTAGAAAAGAACAAAGAAGTAGGCCTGAATACATGGGAAGACTCACAGTATCTCTGAGTGGAAAGACAGATACTATGAGGCTCCTCCTCCCTAGTGTAGACTCCAAGGGCATGCATGCCTTTGGGACTGTCTCTCTGTGTCTAGGTGACTACTTGTAAAGCTCATTAGAACAATCAAGAACAGCCCAATGTCTCAAACCAGAGTGGTCCTACCTAGATGTAAAGACATTATCAAACCTCTGCCCACTCTGAATCATGGTACACAAAAGAACAGCCAGACCCAGGTGGCATATGTGTGGACTTGTGGTGCACCCCGAGGCACTATATCACATTAATGAGGGGAGGCGGGCTTGAAAGCTGAGCTGGTGCCGAGGCCAATGGGACCAGCGCTGTTGGGTGAGTGCACACACCTGGATGAAGTGACTCATTCAAACACACAGGAAAGAAGTTGTATAAGCGCTAACAGATGCTGTGATCCAACTGAGGTGAAATCCGGGCATCAGCAAGCCTTCCTAATGCTGACTCAAAGCTCTGAAGCAATGCAAGAATGAGTGGAAAACTTAACAACCCGGAAATGTCTGTATGAGCCGAGAAGGGATGAGCTGGGGAGCTGTGGCCAGGAGCAGGTGGAGCACACTGCAGCCACAGTGTGGATGACGGGGAGCTTCAGGAGCAGACAAGAAGCAAGAGCCATAAAAAAAAAAAAGGATCAGTCCTTAAATGCGTGCTGACCCAGTTCTGAATAAAAGATTTTTACCACTCAAGATAGCGCCTCTCACCATCCGGTACCACTGAAGCTGGCACTCACTCAGTGTGTGTGCTGTAAGCGGAGACTGACAAAGCTGTGGCTTGAGTTTGGTAATCACACTGCTGGAAAGGATGCTGGTGTGCCTTACCCTGGGATAATAAGGTCGTACTGTTAGTATCGTTAGGAGCTGATGTTTCCAACAAAAGGAAAAAAGAGACGCAAGTTTCAAATATCAAAACTGTTTAAATATAAAAGGTGAAACAATGGGCTGGAGAAATAGCTCAGTGGTTAAGAGCACATCTTACTCCTGCAGAGGACCAGAGTTCAATTCCCAGCACCCACATCAGGCAGCTCACAATTGCATATAATTCCAGCTACAAGAGATCCGATGCCCTCTTCTAGCCTCTGTGGGTATACACAAAAATAAAAATAAATCTTAAAAAAAATGACTGAATTGTAAATGTTCACCTGGGTTCCAGATCTATTTTCTCTTAAAGCCATAAAAAGGAAGTCCCTAGTCTGCCCTGCTGGGGATCACAGTGTCTGGAGCACCCGACTATCACAAGGACTGGCAGTGTTGGTCCTCACTAAAGTGAGTCTGGGGACATCGCTGGCTACAGGACAGGGGCAGGAAATGACCAGGTGAACCAGGAGCACCCTGTCACCCCAGGAAGGGAGAAGCTAGCAAGACCAATGGGACTCAGAGGCCCCTGCAGAAAGCTCATGAGCCAAGGACAGGGTGAGAGCAGAAGGCAGCCGTGGCTGCAATGTGCTACACCCCAAACCCTGCATCCATGAAGAGACTGTGGAAGACAAGACCCATTCATTGGTCCCCTTTGGAGGTGTGAGACACACACTAATTTAAATAAGCAAAAGCATTAACTACTTATTTACCTTGACTCTTCTGTGCAAATTGTTCCTTAGGGTATAGTTTTTTCTGTATAGACGTATTTCCGGTAAAAGCAAAATAAAGAGAAATTTGAAGGGGTGTGCCTGTGAGTATCCCCCAGTCAACAGTGTGTGCTTGCCTGTCAGGACCAAATTGCATGTGAATTAGCTTCATAGCTTTGTGATAAAACAAATACCAGAGACAGCCACCTTGGGAGAATGTTCATTTGGTTTCCAAGTCAGACATGTGTCAGCTGACCCGTAGTTGAAGGGCCTATGCTGAGGGACATATATCATGGCATACTGCGATGCTTATGGGGGTGGAAGGCACCAGGGTCCCAACGCCCCCTTTAGGAACACCTCCTCCCACCATGCCTCACTCCTCAAAGGTGCTACAGCCTCCTGATGGGGCCACCCAGGGAACCAAGCCTTCCATAACTGGGACTTTGAGGGACATCCACCCAAACCATAGAAAGTAAACACTCACAGCTGGATACAGCCAGGCCCAGACAGAGGTCTAAGAGGTAATTTACAAGAAATACAAGGGACAACAAAATAAGGATGCTAAACAATACTTCAGCAATTGACCTGGTCCAGCTGGGTGGTCTGGCGTGTGCAGGAAGTGGTCTGCCAGGAAAGGGAAGCTGGGATGGGAGACCCAGAGCCAGGTTTAAAAGGCTAATGACTGCCACGGGCATGGCGTTTCCTCCAAGTGTGACGATAAACGGTCTAAAGTCACAGAGGCAAGGAGTGTGCCGGTTGATGCATGCACTTAAAGAAATACACTTTAGATGAGGAAATTATATGGTTCATGGGTTGTAACTCAAGACAGGGAATAGGGAGACTGGCTTACTAAGCCACTGAACTGAACAGACCACAGTAAGAACCTAGTTTGCCCAACTGAAACTCACGAGCTACCGGGCTATCTGGTGACACTGGACGTCATGGAGCTTTTGGGGAGGTACGACAGTGACACGGGGGGTGTTTTTTGTTTGTTTTAGTTCCTGATGATATAAATTAAAATAGTTACTGATTAAATACCTAGGAATTTCTTGAGAATATCCCGTTGCTGTAGTGCCGTGGGAAGTCTTGGTTGGTGTTTGTAAAGCTAGGTTATGGGAGAGATCAGTAGACTCTAAGAGCAAATTGGATCGGTGCTTTTTAAAGATGCCGACCCCAGGGTTGACTTAGTGCAGCTAATGCAGGGTATTGGTACCTATAACATTTAAACCCTGAGTAGCCCAGACACCCACCTGCAGAAACCCCATATCTCTAGGTCTTTCTCTTGAGGGACTCCCCAGACTTCTAACCAACTGTGTTACCCCAGGCCTGGTGCTGTACCTGGATGCTGCCAGTGTAGGCCATCCCGTAGCCTCCAGGCTCTAGCGATGCTTTTAGTACTGCCTTATGCCTTCATGGAGCCCAAGTACCACAGACCCAGGTATGAGAAAAGACAGTTTACACATTGTCATTGCTTTGCCTTACAGAGCAACAGAGCCTGGCGTGGATGTGGCCTTTCTGGGAACCCGGGCTGGTCTCCTAAGACAAAGTTTGTTTGTGGGCTCCGAGAAAATCTCTGACAAGTGAGTCCTGGGCACCCTGAGGCTTCTAGCAGGGAGGGGCATGGCACAAGTCTTGAGTCGCCTTGGGGCACGTAGAGCAAAGACGGTCTCATCCTCCAGACCCACAGAACTACTCTAGCAAAGTGCAGATTATGGAAGAACCCTGCTGAGGGGGCCCACATACTGCCCAGTCCTCCACACCACCGCCAGCAGCAGCTGTCTTTTGTCTCTGCATGGAGGCCGGAGCCCAGAAGAGGGCAGGGTAGTGCCACCTGGTGTCCTAAAGCTCAGAAGGCTCAGACACCTGGAGAACAGTGACAGCCGAGCTGATGGGTGACTTCACACACCAGTCTTTCCTCCCACTTGCTCACTGCCCCCCTCACTACATCCCAGTGCAGTCAACAGGGAAGCATCTCTGCCTCTCTCGGGACTCAGTGAAAGTCCACACATGCTGAGCAAGGCTGCAGGCTTTCTAGAAAAACAAATTTGCTTGTTTTCCCCTTCTCCCCTCCTCTTTCTCTTCCCTAATCCCCAGAGAGGTGGGGAGAGGAAAATGGCACCCTCCTAAAAGGGCACCTAAGGATGGGAAGCCATGGCAACACAAACAGGCCGCCCTTGAGTGGTCAAAGACTCTGGGAAGCTGGGAAGACAGCTGCCCGGAGGGCCACAGGTGCCTTGTGCACACCAGCGAACTCCCTTTACCTGGACCATGATGCAGAGGCGACCTGGGGACTCAAGTCTGCTTCCAGAGCTGGCAAGGCACTCACTCACTCAAACGTCAGTCTTCTACCTGTGAATTACCCATAGGTGGCACTTCATCGTGCTGCCCACCCTGCTTCGCCTACCTTCTAGTCAGCGTCTGGACCAGCCTCCTTCTGTAGGCTTGTGTGTGTTCAGGGAAAGCAAACCCATAATTAGCAAGGAAAAGCTTCTCCAAAAGGAGATGAATGTTGCGCATCAAAGCCTTTCGAAGTAACCATGTAGGGCAGTCCATGCTTCTCTACCGCAGGGATCCTCACTCACATCTGCCAGTGAGCCAGACCAAAGGAAATTACCTATACCCAAGGGAGGACGTGTACTTTGTTGGTCACACATCTGTTTCTTCCTGCTCCACTGGCCGGCCTCCCCTGCCACCAGATGTTGCAGTATTTTGCTTCTGGAAGAAGCAGAATCTGCCTGGGGCAATGTGTACTTGGGAGCTGATGGCTCTTTTTTTTTGTTTGTTTGTTTGTTTTTTTTGTTTTTTCGAGACAGGATTTCTCTGTCTGGTGGCTCTTTTCATTCTTTCTTTGTTGAGTGATCGTGAGCTGGGTCTTGCCATGTAGCCAATGTAACTGAGAAGCGGGGACATTCTCCCTCACTCTCAGAGTGCTGGGATAAGGTGCATGCCTATGCTGAGGGTGGAGGTGTTTCCTGTCTGCAACTGGACCAGCACAGAGGGGAGCCTTGGTCTTGGCCCAGCCAAGATGATTGCATATGCCACAGGAAAAAGGGACAAATGTCTTCCGAGATTTGAGGAAGCATTCATCCTATTCTGGCAGGAAGTTCCTGACACCTGAAGACGAAGCCAGTCTTTTTACCATGGACCACTTCCCGCTGTGGTATCGTCAGGCCTCTGAGCAGCCCCCAGGCAGTTTTGTCTTCAATCTCCGCTGGGAAGAGGGACCAGGTAACCTACACCCCTGTGCTCTCCCCAAGAGTGGGAAACAGGGCTGGGATGATACAGAAGAGAGGACGACCCCAGGGCTCCTTCCTGCCTTTCCTCCTGACACTGCAGCTTTGGAGCATGCCTGGTGTTGCACACAGAATGTAGGCCTATGTGTTCTCATCCCCCACCCAGCAGTCAAGCTCCAGCATGGAGGAAAGAGATCTGACCCGAAAGCCAACCAGGTGACTCCTGGCCCACATTCCCAGTGTCAGGTCAGCAGGGTTGATCTTGATCGCCAAGAGGCTTCTGTTTCTAAGGACCCAAGCAGCTTTAAAACTTCCTTTAAAGCTTTCATAGCTGCCCATGTGGTTCTTCCCATATCCACTCCTGTCAGGTTACCAAGAAAGCAGCTCCCAGGACATAGGAGAGACAGGGCCAGCCAGCAGGCCCCCACAGACCCAGGCCACTGGGCAGGGAAGAGAGGTGGAGAGGTGGCACCAAGCTGAGGGCTCCCAGTTCCAGCCCTGGTTACTTTGGAGAACGGCAGGAAAAAAAAACACCAGGATCCTCACTGAGTGTGAGGGAATCAGACCACTGAGAACCCAGGGGCCTAAGGCTCAGTGCAGCCTTACCCTTGGTTACCTTTGAGGAAAGGGCAGCCCAGAGAGGCTGAGGGGCTGATCCAGGGCCCAGGAATCTAAGAAGCAGGAAGTATCTACCAGGATACCAAGAGGGCTGAGCCCAATCCAGAGGGGCTGGGACTTGGACAGTACCTACTTGTGGAATGGATGAATATGGTGGAGGTCAAGGGGGCCCTGGCAGAGATGAGCGCGTTCTCTCTCTCTCTCTCTCTCTCTCTCTCTCTCTCTCTCTCTCTCTCTGTGTGTGTGTGTGTGTGTGTGTGTGTGTGTGTGTGTGCGTGCACGCATGCACACCTAGGGACACACACACACCACAGAGAGCTGCCCTGGAACCGTCAGCTTCAGGAACCCAGACTTTCCAGGGCTCCCCCTCTAGGCTGAAGACAGCAAGGGGGAGTTCCTTCTTATCCACTAAGCCTGTCACTCCACCCTGTGTCGTTCCCTCCACCCACAGGCTGAAGTCTAAAGTGCTTTACAAACATTTCCCTACAAAAACCCCAGGAGATAAGTGCTGTTGATGGCATCTCCTGGGGAGACTTGAAGGCTCAGAGATCTCATTCCGTGATTTGCTCAAGCTTCTCAGCACAGGAGCAGTTTTTACAGCAAGCTAGAGTCAGGTCTGCCTCAGGACACCCTAGATCTGGGGCAGGAGGCAGGAGAGAAAGGAGGTGTTTTCATTCCTGGGACTCACAAAGGAGGTTCTTAAGGCCAAGCAGAAGGTTTTCCCATGGTGTACACCTGAGGCAGAGAGGCAGGTCCTCCCACCATGTGAAGGGTTCCCCTCAGGAGAGACACCCACGGACTCCATAGACGTTCCCTGGGTGAGACCCAGGGCCCACCCAGCCGGGTGACAGGCTGCCTCCTGCCGGCTCTGTCACCAGGACTGCCTGCTGGCTGCTAGGGGGAGCTTTAAGTGTCCACGCAGTAGGAGGGCAGGTGGGTGGGGAATTGAGCTGCCAGGAGAAGAGAAGGAAGCTGGGAACCCAAAAGGGGACTGCTGAGGAGGGAGGCGGGAGCTCGCTCGCTTCCTACGCCTTTGCTCACTCGCCTTTGCTCACTCGCTCAGCCCGAGCACACGCTTAAAGCCACGTGGACACTTCTGGGTCTCCCATCCTCCCCAAAAGAAAGAAAATCATCTCATCTCAACAGGTGTGGGGCTGCTGAGGAGGCGGCCGAGTAGGGCAGCCTCCCGGCGGGTCTGAGGTCTGGGCAGATTGAGTGCTGCCCCCTTGAGGTGTGCCTATGCCACCCGCCAGCACACTACAACCCGCCAGTACCAAGGACCTAGGCCTTCACATTTGTCTCTCCTCTTCCTGGGCTTATTCCCACAGATCCCGGGCTGTGAGACCATTGATCCTAACCTTGAAATTCCCAAGGGCTCCAGAGATTACCTGAGTGTTTTCCACAAGCCTGTGCTAGCCGGAAGGCAGGCTACAGAGCCAAGGCTACAGAGCTGAGGATTCCTGCAGGAGTCCCCACGTTCATGTCTTATGGGTGTTCCCCAAAACAAAGTGAGGGGTCTGGTCTCTGTGTCTACTCTAGTTCCTTTGACTCTGGCATGGTAAATTTCTGGAATCAAGGACAGCTCAAGTGTCGTGAGTTCCCAGAGTCTTGAGACGTGTTGAAGATAGCAAGGTATCAGGGGAACTATAACAACACAGCCAGCGTGTGACCATGCTTGGCCCCATTACAGAGGCTCTGCTCTTCATCAATCTCCAGGAGGCTCTGAGAACTGATTATCACAGGCAGTGTTCACCACAAGGGCATTTGACAGAACAGGACAGTACATGATCTTGGACCATGTAATGGAATCTGACCTCTAGACAAGAGGCGGCCTTTGGAAAGCTGGCCTAGGATGTGGGTGGAGGTTAGAGGTCATACAGCAGCCAGCTGGGAAGATGCTCTCATATGGAGCTGCATCAAACCCTCTGAATCTTGCTCCCAGGATGGCCTGGTTCTTCTAAAAGAAGCGAGAGGCAACCCAGGCCTCCAGGCACCTGACAGAAAGTTCTAGAAGGGCAGCAATGAAACAGGAAATCATTATGGTGGTGAGTTGGGTGCCACCCACAAGGATCCATGAAGCTTCATAGATGTGTCAGATACCACCCTGGCTGTGAGGGGAGGCTGTTGTCCACCGCATCTGGCCTCTGAGCAGGACCATCGCTGTCACCTCTCTGTGACTCTGAAAGGCAAAGCAGGGTCACCCGCCACCCAGGCCTGGGATGCTTGCAGCCTGTCCCTCAACATGAGGCACATACGTGGTTCCTGTCCAGGTGGATTTCATTGTCAACCTGACAGCAGTCAGCTGGCGAGAAGACAGGGAACCCAGACTTGATTGCCTTGATCAGTGGCACAATCTTGTTAACTGTAGAAGGGCCTAGATCAGCATGGCCAGCGCCATCCCCAGGCAGGTGGGCCTGAGGTATGCAGGAAAGCAGACCGAGCACAAACCAGGGAGTGATCTAGAGAGCAAGCCAGGAGTCGGCATTATCCCACTCACTTCTGCCCCCTGCTCCTGCCTTGACTGCCTGTCCTGGCTTCCCTCGATGGTGGAGTGTGGCCTGGAGTGGAAGATGAAATCGACCCTTTCCTCCCCAGGCTGCTTCGGGCTGTGGTGTTTATCACAGCAGCAGGATAAGACAACGAGCGTATGGGAAAGCAGGCTGTGCCAGGGTCCTGTCACAACTGCAAGGGAGCTAAGCGGGAGCAGCAGGCAGATGGGTTTGCTCCCTGGAGACAGAGCAAAGTCACAGTGCCATCGTGATGCTCAGCCTGGCAGGGGCTAAGAATTAATCCCGGCAAGTCCTGATTTGTTCAGATTCGGGGACAGCAAGGGACCTTCAGGACACTGTTGAAAGACAGGTGGTGGACAGCCACAAGCCATTGTCAACAGGATTCTTCCCCTACCTCACCGTTTTCAGGGAGAGCTTATCCTGGAATCCCTGTTTGTCTCCTATCCCAAGAAAGAGATAGGCTCACTCCTAACCTCTCTCTGCAGGCACCGAGAATAACAATAATTCTCACTTTCCCAGATAGCCCAAGCAAGCCAGTGGCTGTAAGGGCCAGCACTGCAGTAACTGTGACGGTGGATGGGAAGACGGCCATCGCAGCAGGTAGGCGCTACCCTGAACCGCTGAGGTAGGAGCCCCAAGGCAGTGTCAAGGTGAGGGCTGGCAGGGCGGAGCTGGCTCTGCCAGAGCACCTGTCTAGCTGGCCTGAGGCCATTTCCATTCCCAGCACCACACACACAGGAAGAGAGAATAAGATGCCCTGGATATGGGGATTCTAAATTTTCCCAGGAGGAATGCCGAGGACAGGAAGTGGATGCTTACGTCATTTTGTTTATAAAGCCATAAAGCCCAAAAGATTCACGGAGTAAAATGAAGCTCAGAGAGGTTAAAATACCTTCTCAAGGTCACACAGGACAGGGACGACCTGACCTCTGTTCTATCCCTGAAACACGGACATTACATTGACTGAGCTCATGACTCTGCACTTTCTACCTGGAATTCAGGGTAATTTAGTGAGGCTACATTACAGACAAAGAAACTAAGGGATGGAGGGGTTATTTGTCCGAAGTCCCACAGCTAGTAGTAAAGCTAGAACCTGGACTCAGAACATCTCTCTTTGGGACCCAGCGTTACCCCCATGCTGTCTGCCTCCACTTCTAAAGCAACAACACCCAGTGGGCCTCATAAGCTTAGCCTGAGTTTGCAGCTTCTTGATGGCTAGGACTGTCCCTGGCATCTGTGCCTTGCTCTTTGAGCGTCTGTGATCACGCCCTCCATGTTCCTCGAGAAGCTGTGCAATCCATGGTCACTCAACCTGGTGGAGCTGGGGTGCCAGGCACTTGTCTCATGCCCCAGGAGCCTGGGGAGGCCAGCAGCAGGCAGGACCCTGGCCTCTTCCCAAGGCTGGGAGTGTCTAGGGGAGGAGCAGGAGCGGCTGGCCTGAGTTTCCTCAAGGAATCCTTGCTGCCCAGAGTCAAGGTTCCTGTGGGTTCCCTCCTGGGTTGAGGTAGGGGAAGGTAGCTCAGCAGCGCATCCAGCCCAGCATCCCCGGCAGCCTGTAAGGTGCCTCCCACCCTGCAGAGAGGATGATTATATCCCAGCAGCTCTTCCGGAGCCCACAGCATGCCAATCCCTGGCCAGCTGTGAGGCTCACTTATCTAAAATCCTCCAGCAGTTTAGTCCCAGCAGACCCATGACTACCCCGTTCTGCCCGGAGGTGGCCCTCTTGGCCCCTCTACCTTGAAGACCTGGGAAAGGAGAGAAGGGATATGAGGCCAGGCCACTGACTGTGCTTCCCCACCCTCCCCAATTATCTGATTTAATTTTTAACTCAGAGCTGAGTTAGAGCCAGGAGGGGTTGCCATAGAAACCGTGTCCCAGTGCCTCTGGTTGAACTCCTTCAGACGGTCCCTGTGACGCTCAGGGTACACGGCTGTGACAGAAAAAGCATGAGGCGTTAGAGACCTGACACGGCGGGTTCACCTGCATCTCATTCTAGATGTTCCTCTCCCTGGTTCCGGGCACCATCTCCCTGATCCTGGGACCCGGTGGGACCGTCAGCTCAAGGAGGGCAAGGTGGCGTGTCTGCTGTCCCTGACCGCTCTCCAGAACACAGTGTATCAGCAAGGGCTGTGTCAGAGACCTGTCCTGCTGTCTGGAGAGGCTTGGATCACCCTAGGGGTCTAGACAGATAGGACTGCCGCCCTCTGAGCACTTCCCTCTATCAACCGTGCCTGTGGCTTCAGTAGCAACCTGTGCTCTGCAGGGGGCTCAGAGGGAACCAGATTTGGCTCTGCTATAGAGGGACCAGTGGATGGGGACCCCACTATGACCACACCTAGGCTGAAACATCTGGCTGCTTGGCTTTCTGTACCCTGGGAGTTTACGTCTCCCTGAGGTTCGTTCCTGACTTAGTGAGTCGTCAGCCCAGGAAAGCTCCCAAGGTGAAGGTTCCACATGAGTCTCTGGAGATGAACAGAGTTCAGAACCACTGGGGACAGTCCCGCCCTGGGGGTAATGAGCAATCCCAGAGGCCATGCTTTCTTCTTCCTTCCCTCTTCAGTACCACCCTCCCAGCTTTCCTGTTCCTAATTCTATCTCCCTACTGGCTGACAGGGGCTTATTTCTAGGCCCAGGTGTGGGGTGCTTATGCGGTACTGAAAGGCTAAGATGGCATTCATGAAACTCCAGCAAGCTCCCACAGACCCCAGGTGAGGCAGCCCTTAACTAATCGCCTCGCCTCCTGGCAAGACAAGGGTCCTCAGGCAAGCACAGTGCGTCTTCTGTGCAAATGGAAGTCTCGCACCACATGGGTCATCGTCTGCCCGTGGCTGCCAGGACAGAACGGTCAGGAGCTGGGTGGACGCCCCAGGTGCAGAGCTAGCAAGGTCTGCTCACCTCGGCTCCACGAGCTTACTCTTCTCTGAGACTCCCATTGGTTGCCGCCAGACTGGAGCAGACAGGTTTAAAATCCCAGCTCAGCCCTGCCTGGAGCTTGTCACCCTTGTCCTGAGCCAAATCCTCTCTGGGATACTGCCTTCAGATTCCTCTCAGCCCTGAGGTCCTGGGTACTGAGCAGGGGACCCATCTGTCACATAGAGCTCTTTGCACCGGGGTGACATTCCTCTACAAATGGCTCGGCTGTCTGGCGACGCAGGGAGACAGGACACCAGTCTCCCCATGCCCACATCCCCTCCCACCCAATGAAGCAAGGAAATACATAGGAAAATAGTCTTTATTGGTCTTCTGAAACAACAAACCAGAAATATAATTTTGCCTTTAAAAATCTTCTGTCTCAGGCTAAAGATATCACCACTGACAACACCCTCCCTCCCCCAGGCCCTTAGAAAATCCCAGCTCTGGGATTGGCCCACCAGCCAAAAGAGGAAGGAAGACGGTGGCCGGGCCTAGAGGATCCTGTGCCCTCTGTCTGTCATCCAGAGAACAACCTTGAAAGCTGTCCTGAGACTCCCAGGGCATGCCCCTGCTAGTAGAGTAGGTGGTAGAAGAAAAGGAGAAGGATGCCAGGTTGTCCCAACGCCCCCATGGACACATCCTTAGTACCTGTGTCTAGCTGGTCTCTTTCTGGCTACCAACAAGGCCCTGCTCAAGGCAAGGTCTCAGCCTAGCATCTTCAGGCAGAGGGATACAGTCTCTAAGGAGGGGACAGCTGAGAACAGAAAGAACAACAACCCTGAAAATGTGCACAGCCTCAGGGGCAAGAGTCTCCATCCCAGATAGGACCGCAGCCCCTTTTTAGCTTGGCCAGCCCGGGTGCAATTGCACGCTCCCAGGAAACCAGGCAGAGCCTATGAGCCTCTGGGAAAGGAAGTCCTCCCACTGAGGACTCTGAACAGAATGTAGCCATCCTGTTCCTGTTCCTGCAGTCTGTTGGGAATGTGTTGAAGGCAGCCAGCCTCGGTGAGCCCCACTGCCTGATGTCTGTTCTCCTTAAGGTGAACCACCCATCTCAGAACACAGCCCAAACCCAGCCTGGAGGTCACAAACAAAGGATGCAGATGACAGCAGGGGCAGGAGAAGCAGAGGAACAGAAGTAAGGCTGCAGGCTGCAGGAGTGGAAACTGCTCAGGGTGCCCGGGACCTGGCAGGGTGGAGGTTCCTAGGCACACCCAGGGGTCTGCAGCTGAACTCTCAGAAGCCTGGAACTTGTCCTGCGTACATGCACAACTCCTGTGTCTCTGGTAAACCTAGCAGGAGAGGTGCTAAGGTTGCCATGGCAATAGGCAATTCTTCCAGCAGCACACTCTGGCCCACTTTAGAGGGTCTCAAAGGATCCCTGTGTTGTTGTCCAGGACCTAACCCCTGATGACATAGGAAGACTGTAGTCAAGAAGTAAGAGAGACTATGGCCTCCAGGTGGAAGGGACAGCAGGCCTCAGCCTCAAGTCCTCATGGCCTCCTTTCCCACCTGGTGTATGTGTGTGTGTGTCTATCTGTCTGTCTGTGTGTCCGTCTGTGTGTCTGTCTGTGTGTATGTCTCTGTGTGTGTATCTGTGTGTGTGTATCTCTGTGTGTATCTGTGTGTGTGTCTGTGTGTCTGTCTGTCTGCCTGTGTCTGTGTGTGACTCTGTGTGTGTATCTGTGTGTCTGTTGTATGTGTGCCTATGTGTGTGTATCTTTGTGTGTGTGTGTATGTCTGTGTATGTGACTGTGCATGTGTGTGATTTTGATGCATGGGACTGTGATAGCAGTGCCCTGTATGTGACAGTGAACTAATGTATAGAGTAAGACCCTGTCTCAAAACCCTACACTAAAACAAAAATATAAAATGAGTAAACCCGGAGAACATAGTCAGAGGAGTCTATAGCAGATAAAGGGACAGAATGGCATCCACCCAAGGAAGACATTATAGTCACTTTGGTTTCTCTAAGCACTGGACCCAGATCACAGGGCTGGGGGTGTTTGCACATTGGCACCAGCTGCTGCGAGCCGGACAAGCTTCACACCGCAAGGACCTAAGAATATCTTTCTGTCTCCAAAAGGAGCCACAGAAATCTACCTCTGGCTCCCTGTCCCTCCCTCTCAAGCCCTAATGCAGACTGAAGTGGGAATGAGTAAGAGGTAGGGAGGGTCACCAGCTGTGCTGGCCCTGGGCAGGAGGGACGTGCTCTGTGTAGAGCGTGAGCCCGGTGTAGGTTTTCTTCCCTGTGGCCAGAAACCTACACGGACACTCAGGTGTCCCAAAGACCAGGGGCCCAGAGAGGGCCTTCCCCGGGAACCTTTGGCCAGGGGAAGTGTCTAGAAACTTGGAAAGAGACCAGGAGGCTGCTCTACTGAAGGGCAGACGAGGGCCAGGGAGCTGAGGCAGGCAGTACCAGTGTCAGGCTGAGGCAGGGCCTGTGATGGAGGGAAGGGCAGCCCTTTGGTAGCAGTCCCATGGAGTCTCCTTGCTGTCCTACCTGGGCCAGACAGACAGCTCTCATGCCACAGAAGAGATCTGTTTCTGATCTTCATGCTCACCCTCGGGGTCCCCCATCAGCGGCTGGCGCTTCTTGAGCTCCCGGTGGTATTTTGCCATGAGGGAGGCATAGATGCAGCCATAAGCAGCAGCCACCACCATCATGATGCAGACAATACCACACA